GCTCCGTTTTTCACTCACACCCCAAAAGTTAGTTGAAAAGTGTGTCAGACCACTTTTTACATGTAAAAAGACATTCTTACCCTTTAACTTTGGTTTGACCCATTTAAGTATTTCTTTAATGATTGAAATGACATATTTACCCTCATTCAAATGACATATTTATCCATTTATACCCTCACATATTATTTCAATTCACCCATGTGTCTACGTCCTATTGGTTGCTGACCATATTTTTTTTTATTTCACCTTATTATTTGGGGCCAAACAGTGACACGTCACTCCAACGACGACTAGAGAGAACGACGATGATCGGCAGCCACAGTTGACGATGACGACTATGACTGATGAAGATTCCGGTGACGATGAAGGCACGTGGCTCTGCTGACGAAAATCTGAGGATGGTGTGGGGCTTCCGTTATCGACGACGACGACGTGGTAGTGAGAATCCGACGAGAATAACTGCCAGAAAATTGCACGATGCCGGCTAGAAACTGTTCTGTTTACGACTTGTTTTCAATGTCATACAGCTCGCTAGAATGATGTGGGTCTATTTTGTAATGTCGAAACTGTTGGTGATGTAATTATATGTTGTTAGTCGGAAATAATGGAGGTTTCGAATGGTTTTTGTTGGATTTGTATGATGTGTCGTTATGGTGCTCTTTAGTGTCGGTAGCCTCAGAGTCTCATCATCTTGCTCATGATTTGGATAGATGTATGGAGGGTTAATAATAGTTGTTCATTTTCTTGATGTCTGTGTTTTTTATGTGTGTTTTTTGTGTTATTGAATTTGATTTTTTGTGCAATAGATTGGGTAGGTTTGACACGAAGAATTGGAGGTTTTCATACAAGGCTCTGATTGTGCTTGAATACTTGTTGACCCATGGACCAGAGAGTGTTGCAGAGGAGTTTCAGAGTGACAAAGATGTTATCTGCGAGATGGGAAGCTTTCACTATATTGATGAGAAAGGGTCTTTTTTTCATATTCCTCATTTGGGGTTTTTTTTATTTTTATTTATTTTATTTTATTTTTATTTGTTATTATAGTACTATGATTGTTATCATGAGCTTCTAAAATTTAATTTGCAGATTCAATTGGGAACTTAATGTTAAAAAGAAATCCGAGAGAATACTGAAGCTACTTGAAAAAGGTTCTGTTCTCAAACAAGAAAAGGGATAAAGCTAGGAAGCTAAGTAGAGGGATTGAAGGGTTTGGGAGCTACTCGAAGAGGTCTTTTTCAGCACAGAGAATTCTTACAAAATCAGAGAGACTTAGATATGGAAGGTGTCATTCTGAATCTACTAGTCAAAGAACTCAGGATGATTGGTTTTCATTCTCGAAGGACGAAGGTCCATTCGAATCAGAGCATGAAATATCTCAGCAGACTCATCTGGAAAATGTGAATTTGGTGTCCATCAAGAAAATGGAAAACTCCAACTCTATGGGTAGTTTTAGTGATGATGAGGTACTTGAAAAGTTTGGTGCTAGAATAAGTTCCAACAAACCGTGGCCGTAGGAGAACACGACCCGCTGTCCCACATAGACAATCCACACACGATGACCACGCAAACTGCCGGCGAGAAGACTGTTACCCGCGACGCACGACAGTGACCCACAGTCGACGGCGCAACAACCTATGGTTCGGCGTCTTCCTACTCCCCAAACCACCACCGTCTGGCGACCCTCCCGCACTCTCTGGTTCGGCCATCGCTGCAGTGCCCAACCGATCTCCCTTCGCCGTCATCGTCGCAGTTACACACACACACACACTTATATATATAGATACACGTGATTGTTATATATATATATATGGGGTATAATGGTCATTTAAGTAGCTGGTGTATTTTGTATTAAATGTGATTAAAAAATTAAGGGCAAACATGTCTTTTCACACGTTTTTAAAGGAGACGGTAACGGAATAGTGAAATTGGACCTAATTAATAGTTATTTTCGAAAGATGTTTTAAACTGATATTTTGCCAAACTACCGGAAGTGTTAGTGAAATTATGCCTAAATTTTTATATCAATTTCAATCTAATGTATAATTAGTATAATTGAATTTCTATTTTAAAATTTATTTAAAAATTAATATAATTGAATTTCTATTGTAAATTAAAAATTATACTAAATTTCAAATTATCTAATAAAATTCAAATTACAAATTACCTAATAAAATTCAAATTACTTAAAAAAATTTGTTACTTTGCAAAACTCAAATATTTCACTATTAAAATAAAAAATTATTGTTTAATAAAAAATAAAATATACATATTTCAGTATTAATATAAAAACATAAAAGAATTTATTAATTTATGAAACTTAAACTCTATCAATATTTTAGTATTTATTTATTAATATAAAATAAATTTTTATTAATCAATATAAAGACAAAAATTTTATAAGTTACAAAATATTCACCACGTGCATCGTGCCTTTTCCTAATATATATATATATATATATATATATATATATATATATATAAAAAGCTTTATGTTCATACAAATCCTAAAGCTAGCATAAACTTTATTTTTTTAAAAATAATAAATTTATTTGTAATGAAGAATCAATTTATACGTTAATTACTTTGAACTTTTGAATGGTTTGTAAATTTTAAATACAATATATGCAATCACCACAAATTATACATATCATTAATGGTGTTTTATGCCGAGAATCAAACTAGAATTTTTTTTTTCCACATTAAAAAAAACACATAGAGAAGTTGAAAGCACAGACTGAAATCCTGGGCAATCGCATCACTTGCAAACCACACCTTCTGAAAGCATAAACCAAAATATCGCCGGAGAGTCGACATCATCAGGAACGCTGGTAGCCGCACAGGACCCACGCCACATACAACTATCGAGTTTCACCGACACAGACCATCAGTTGATCCACCATGGGAGCCCAGTGAGGGTAGACTATCAAATGAAGAGAGAAAGAGCAAGGCAAGGATCGAACACAATGGGAGCCCAGTGAGGGTAAACTAGAAAGGGGGACGATCAGTACTGATCGATGGGCCGACCACTAGCGCGCATGGACCCATCCTTGAGATTTGTCTTATTCATCATACTTAGATGAAAGTTGATTCCTTTTTCACCTTTTGGATAAGAAACTTGATGCAAACAAGTCCTTAAAAATTAAAAAAGTGAAATTTTTTTTTTTTTAATGGCTAAAAAAAAGTGACATTGTCCATTAATAAAAATAAAATTAATTAATTAATTAATTAATTTTTTTTTTAACTTACTAAATTATTTAAATGACAAAATTACCCCTTCAACATTTATTTTCTCTCTCTCTCTCTCCCTCTAAACTCATAAATCTTCAACTCTAATCTTTTACTTCATTAATCACTCTCATAACTGTTCTAAATGGGACAAATACCGGACGAGGCCGGATATATATATATATATATATATATATATATATATATATTTTTGGATTTTCAAGCGACTTAAATATATATATAAAAGGAGATATTTACAATGTGGGCTGTTAGGCCATACCGTCCATTTGGACCGAGAAAACAAATCTAAAATGGCCAACAAGAGAAAAACCCAACCCATAACTAATAACCTTCATTAACAGTTTTGAAAGACCATTAATGGAGAGTGTTAGTGCGCTGATTCGGTGAAGCCAAAAGGAGCAAAAACTCCGGCGAGAGCTAGTCTGGAGGCCTAAGAATGGAGAGAATTGAAAATCAAATTAGTGCAAGTGTTATTGCATTAGCTAGTTGGTACATTGTCACTAGACTCACATTTTGCAGACCCAGCTTAATTGAGATTTGCAGATAAGATACAATGACATATCAAGCAACTAAAGGATGCAGGAGAACAATTAACAGCAAAATGCATAAAACTGTGTGAAAGGGCATGAATTCTTGTAACAATTGTAGGGGTGTTTGGTTGCATTGTACAAACTTAAATCGTGACTCTTGTTTAATGCTCTCAATGCAAGCTAAATTCCACTATTCAATAGAATGGATTTCGAATACCTTACAATTTATAGGGGATTTTGTGCCCAACTGGTGCATCAAATATTAGGGGATTTTGTGCCCAACATCAAATATATATATATATATATATATATATATATATATATATATATATATATATAATATTTGATGCATCCAACACTCAACTTTTTTATTTGAAATTAAAGAGTCAGTGTTCCAGCGGTATCAAGTTATCTGAGCTTATTCTTTTTAGAGTAGTGTCCATTGAAAAAATTAAATTGTCAAATGTAAAATTAGGAGAATATCTAGCAAAAAATCAAAATTAGGAGACGTTAATGTAATTTTTCATAATAAAAGGAATTCAAAAAGTAATTAAAGTAGAATTTAACACGTGTAATTAATCCCAAAATACAAAGAAAGAAACGCAAGAAACACTTGCACCAAAGTGATAAGACTAATTCAAATGGGCAATGATCCAAATGCTGTCCCTAACCAAGAATCAAATCTAACCAACAATCTCTCTCTACAAACACAGATATATATGCTGACTGTGTTGAACGTGTACAGGCTGTAGTTGCCACGTGTATGGTCAGGAGGTTTCGATGACTCGGCTCCGGTTTGTTTGCTTGCTAATTAAATGATTCGTGTCAGTTAGTGAATGCTCTTAGTAGACAAAATATATTATTAGTGGTGAGTAATTAATTGTTCCAATTCCTTTTCTAATTCTGATTCCTTTTCCAAATCTTAAAATAATTGATTCCAAACAAAGCGTTAGACTAATTATTTCTAAATTATTCTTGCTTTGTTGCTTTTCAATGATTTAGTGCACACAAAACCAGTGGCTTGTAAAATAAAACATATATTAAACATGCCAAAATTTTAAACAAAACTCATATGTAAAATGTTTCTATTAATATTATGATAAAACCAGAGTAGAACTCCAACCATTATCCTTATCTAAATTACTAGCATGATCAAAAAAATATAATATCTTAGGGAAAAAATAATAATAATAATGATTACATATATACATCAAGCAAAATAGTCTATAACACTGGTTGAAACCATCGATAATACGAATACTGCATCTGTTCGTGAGATAAATTTAATGGTTCAATCTCACTGTTTTCCAAATTATACACTCCAAAATCTTCATTCCATGAGTTAGCATCTTCAATGAAATAGATCGAGTTCGGTTTATAATCAGGATTGTTTCTAACAGAGATAAATTTTGAATCATTACGGGCCAAAAATAGAGCTTGATCACCGAAGTTTCTCACCTTTTCCCATTTACCGTTGCTCCAGTTTAACTTAAAAATCTCAAAGGACTTGGTTCTTCTTTTCGATTTGCCATTAGAATCTCGGTAAAAATCATGATTTCTCACAACCATCAACAATTCACCGAACCACGACTCCACTAAGTACCTGAATGGGTTGTTAGTACTAGTAACATTGCATACCTCCTCTTCCTTGTAATTAGAATAAGATTTATCGAACAAGCATCGTCGAAGCACACCAAACCAATCAACTGAGTAGAAGTTACCCTGATAGAATATCATGGAACAGCAAATGTAGTTTCTAGTGAAAACAGGCGTCCATTCCTTGTCACTAAATCTATACATAGTGATCTCCCGTAAGTTTATGTGCGAGTTTGTGGTGTATACGTAGAGCATGCAAGTGGGATCAGTAAGAATGGATGATGAGATGAAGTTTAGTTTGGTTGGATCATAGAAAATTGGTCGTGGTGGCGGGGGTGGAAGTTGGACAACCATTCTTGAGAAGGGATTGAAGAGATATAGCGCAGTCTCACGTGAGGAATAGAGTAGTAGCCATCCACGATGGGGAGCAACATACGTGGTCCTTCTGGGAATAGCAACACCGCTACCACTGTTGACTGCCTCGGCCTCCTCATCGATGACGGAGTCGTCTCTCCTCCAGACACTCTCCATGGCTTTTGTAAATTCAATACGGCCTTCTGTAAATTTTTCAGGACCATTGTCCTTGTAAGGCAACCTCCTCATCTTGGGTCTACGGAACCTATACTCCATGGTGGTGTTTCTACCAAGACACAATAGTTTGCTATCATCATCATACAAGTTCTTATTACTGTAAAGGAGTAGTAATGGAGTAAAAGTACTACTTTTTGCTACTCCATTGTTATTGATGAACCTCACTGCAGCAGATCTCCATGAATGGCATACACTGCGACAACGTAGAAGATCCATAGTTGTGGCCACACGTGCCATGATCAACTCCAGCATCTCTTGGGGAAGAAGGTCGGACCAACAACTATAATAATTCTTTTTACTATTATTATTAGCCATGTCCCATCAAACCAGTTTGATTGAAGGTAGAAGGAATCGAAGAACAGAAAAATCACAAGGATGGGACGGAGCCAGAATTTTTGTTCAGGGGCACATTATACACTAAATAAATATAAATTAATATTTATGGAGTATATATACATAGAGAGAAATAGTTGGATAAATATAAATAGAGATTGATATTTTTAGAATAAGGTAATTCAATAAATTACATATATAAAATATAATGAAACAATTTAAGAATTTTTTTTTAAGGAAACACATAAAGTATATAAGGGAAGGATAAATTTGAGGGGGTACTTTTACACATTTTTAAAAAATATATACCTATTATAAAAATATATATATATAAAATAAGGAAACGAAAAATTCAACTATCAAAGTTTACGTCTCCGGTGTCTTCGAGGACGCTTCAAAGTCGGTTACATCTTTTTTTAGATTTGGAGCCTGTTTGGTCTCATCATATGTTGGGCTGCCCACTTTATAAATTCCTTCTTTTTCTAGGCCGCTTTTAAGGAAAAATATTGAATTAAATTAGACTAGAAATATATTATGGTGTTGTTTCGAAAGTTCTATAAAGGGTAAAGACAGAAAATTCCTTGTAATATGTGGAAAAAAAAAATTAAAACCCTCCTACATTATTAATTTTGTAAAAATATTTTTTTAGACTTAAAATAATTATAATATCCTCGTAACATAAAAAAAATGAATCAATAAAAATATAAGTCATGTAAAATGATCATTTTGTTTAATTGTCATCAACAAAATATATATATATATATATATATATATATATATATATATATATTAAGTTTTAAATTCATACAAACCCTAAAGCTAGCATAAACTTTATTTTAAAAAAATAATAAATTTAAAACAAAAACAAAATCACAAGATTGGTACATGGAGATAGTGTTCATTTATTTATTAATTTATTATTATTATTATTTGTAATGAAGAATTAATTTATACATCAATTACTTTGAATTTTTGAATGATTTGTAAATTTTAAATACTGTATATGCAATCACCCACAAATCATACATATCATTTAACCTTATGTTTTATGCCTTATGAGAATCAAACCAGATTTTTTTTTTTTCTTTTCTTTTTTTCTTCGTCGAATGTGATTGTCATTTTTTTTTTTTCCTGGAAAAGAAAAACCATTACAGAACAAGAGAACAAATATCATCCTTTGCGGAGACAATGATGAGAAGTTGAAAGCACCGACTGAAATCCTGGGCAACTGCTTCACTTGCAAACCACACCTTCTGAAAGCCGGACATGCAGGACCCACGCCACATACAACTATGGAGTTTCACCGACAACTTGCCCGCTCTAGCAAGAAACCTTGCGATATCCATCAATGGTCCAGTTTCCAGGACTAGGGAATTAAGCACTGCACAGACCACAGTTGATCCACCATGGGAGCCCAGTGAGGGTAAACTAGAAAGAGGGACGACCAGTACCGATCGATGGGACGACCACTAGCGCGCATGGACCCATCCTTGAGATTTGTCTTATTCATACTTAGATGAAAGTTGATTCCTTTTTCACCTTTTGGACAAGAAACTTGATGCAAACAAGTCCTTCAAAATTAAAAAAGTGACTTTTTTTTTTTTAATGTAAAAATAAAAAAGTGACATTGTCCTTTAATAAAAATATTATTTTTTTATTTAACTTACTAGATTATTTAAATGACAAAATTACCCCTTCAATATTTTATTTCTCTCTCTCAACTCAAAAATCTTCAACTCTAATCTTTCACTTCATTAATCGCTCTCATAGGTTCTAAATGGGACGAATAGGCCGGATATATATATATATATATATATATATATATATATATATATTTTGAATTTTCAAGCTACTTAAATATATATATAAAAAGAAATATTTACAATGTGGGCTGTTAGGCCATACAATCCATTTGGACCAAGAAAACAAGCCCAAAAGGGCCAACAAGAGAAAAACCTAACCCAGAACTAATAACCTCCATTAACAGTTTTGAAAGACCGTTAATGGAGAGTGTTAGTGCGCTGATCCAGTGAAGCCAAAAGGAGGAGCAAAAACTCTGGCGAGAGCTAGTGTTGACACCTATTTTGGTAAATTTTGAATTGATGACGTGGCAATAAAGAAGGGTGATATTCTACGTAGATTGAAGTTGAAATTGCATGCAAAGATGGGAAAAGTATTTTGAATAAGTTGTGGATAAAGATAATTGTTTTAAGACTTATCTTTTAGTTAGTTTTAGTTGCATAATTATGTTATCTATAGGATTAGTTTATTTTAAATTAATAGTTGATTAAGTGATAGAGTTGTAATGCAAGTAAAATACTTGCATATAGGAGTTTGTTTTATATAATTTTCTATAAATAATGCTATAGGCATGCTTTGCGCCAGGTGCAGCACCCTCAGAATCCTTTAATTTATTTGTTTGCTTTCTCAAGCACTTTCCCCAAATAGCATCATTGCTATCTTTATCTCACTCTCTCTATTTCAGTCTCATTCTATTTCTCTCCCCATATCTCTTTCTCCCTATCTCTTCTCCCTATCACTTTCTATATCTATTTCTTCCCCTTTCTATTATCTTGATACGTTACTATAAATTGTTCACTGGAAAGTCCTTTTTAACTAAGGCATTTTTGAACCTAAAAGAGGAATTTATTTGTTCCCTTTTTCCTCGCATCGTCTGAGAGTCAACTTTCTCAAAGGGACTAAAGTTGACAATTCACAATCGAACCACCCAAATGGTTTTGGCACGCCCGTTTCACATCAATTTAAGATCGGATCTTAAGAGCCGATTTTAGGGTCAACATTTTTGGCACGCCTGGTGGGACCCCACTAGGTGAGTGATTTATAGTAAAAATATGCAGTTGACTTCTTAACCGACATACAAATATTATGAACAGTCAAATCAGCCGATGTACCAATATTCTAATCAGCCATATGGTTGGCCAGACAATTATCAGCAATCAATCGCCGATAATCGGCATGTTCCAGCAACTGATTATCGACATGCTCCAAAAGTCGCTGATTATCGACATATTCCAACAGTCGATTATCGGCAAGTACCAATAGTCGATTATCAGCAGACGCCAACATTCGATTATCGGCAAACGCCAACAATCGCTGATTATCGGCAAGTTTTAACAGCCGATTATCAGCAGATGCCAGCAACCGATTATCGGCAAGTGGTAAATTAGCATGTCACTCCCGTATCACAATCTTCGATACTCGGGGGGCAGCCGATGGCCAATCAATCGAATGGTTGGACTGAAAGTTATCAGCGACCAGTAGTCGATTATCAACAAGTGGCAAACCAGTCACCAGCAGCCGATTGGCAGGAGATTATTCAGGATTTGAAAGCAATGAAGGCTCATATATCGACTATCCAAAGTCGTTATCAAGCTGAAAACTCAGCATCTCTTGAATCAATTTTTCAACGTCTTTTTTTACCGTTGACAAACATTTCTCAAGGGCCACAAACAAGTATGGCAAGAATTGTCCTGCCGAACATAACTCTTGGTATGCCCATCTGCAATCCGCCGATAATAATAGAAATATCATTGATGCCGATTGAACAAAATGCAAAATCGGCAAGGGTTATTCTACAACGCCTACCAGTTATGCCGATTCCCCCTCAAAAAGAACATCAAGAAATGGGGGAGATTGATCAGGAGATTAAAGAATTGATGGCTCAGCTTATCCAAGCTGAGGTAGCTCAAGGGCGTAGATGTGCTCGGCCTGTATATAGGAAACCTCATCCTGACCAGGTGGTAACTCAGCATGTCACCCCTGTATCACAACCTCCGTTACATGAGGGGTTGCCGATAACCAGTACCGAAATTGGCCAACCTTGCTGATCTCGGCAAAAAAATTTACCAAAAAATTGGCAGCAAAGTTTGCCAGAATATTATCAGTCACCGATTGCTGATTATCGGCAAGTTCTAACAGTCGAGTATCAGCAAGTGGTAAATCAGTCGTTTGCTCCTATAAATCAAGACGGAAAGATAGAACAAACCCAACTTGCTCCCATTCAACATGGTTGCAATGAATGGAAGGGTACAAATCAGCTGAAAGTAAAGCGGCCTATGTACCAGAATTCTTTGCCGATTGTGACATCTAAAAATCAGCAAAAACAATCATTAGCTAAAAGAATTGTTTTAACTCGCTGTCATCAGCCCAATTTCAAGAAAAGAAAAAAAAGACTAGCTGATGTTAATTTCAAAAGGTTACTTAGAGATTAGTTGAGAAAATCGGTTGAGGCAGAATCAGCTGAAAGAAAATCGGCTAAAAAACCAGTGGCTGCCGGGGGGCATGTGATTGCAAAACCCCAACAAAAGTTAGTTGATTCATACTCTCTACTTCAGCCTGCCGATTATAGTGAGGTCATGTTTGCAGATCAATGGACTTTTGGGCATGATGCAGTCCTGTCGATTGAGCTGAAGGCAAAATCGGCTGAAAGACAATCGGCTAGAAGGAAATTAGCTAAGACAACTCCTTGCTAGCACAATGTCATTCATCTAGTAGAGATAATAGGCAGATCGGCTAGAATGACGCTTCACGATAATTTAATTCATGCCGATCATGATCATGATTTGCTAGCGGAGTTAGAAAACGCATGGTGGGCAAGTCCTTCCTGGGTTTCTGGGCAAATGATATCGGCAAACTTTCTGAGAATCTAGGAAGAAGCCTAAATCGGCAGATTTTGCTAAATAAAGATCATCTTTAGGGTGCTTCAGAAGAAATAAAGTTTTGGAACTTGCTGATTTGCAATCTTATTCCAATTGATTAACTCAAAATTTCTTTTCAATGTATTTTAAAATTTTAAATATCTTATCGACTTGGGCGGCCGACAGCCGATAAGACATTTAAAATGGGGGGCATTGTTGACACCCATTTTGGTAAATTTTGAATTGATGACGTAGCAATAAAGAAGGGTGATATTCCACGTAGATTGAAGTTGAAATTGCATGCAAAGATGGGAAAAGTATTTTGAATAAGTTGTGGATAAAGATAATTGTTTTAAGATTTATCTTTTAGTTAGTTTTAGTTGTATAATTATGTTATCTATAGGATTAGTTTACTTTGAATTAATAAGTGATTAAGTGATAAAGTTGTAATGCAAGTAAAATACTTGCATATAGGAGTTTGTTTTATATAGTTTTCTATAAATAATGCTATAGGCATACTTTGCGCTAGGTCCAGCACCCTCAGAATCCTTTAATTTATTTGTTTGCTTTCTCAAGCACTTTCCCCAAATAGCATTATTGCTATCTTTATCTCACTCTCTCTATTTCAGTCTCATTCTATTTCTCTCCCCATATCTCTTTCTCCCTATCTCTTCTCCCTATCACTTTCTATATATATTTCTTCCCCTTTCTATTCTCTTGATACGTTACTATAAATTGTTCACTGGAAAGTCCTTTTAACTAAGGCATTTTTGAACCCAAAAAAGGAATTTATTTGTTCCATTTTTCTTTGCATCGTTTGAGAGTCAACTTTCTCAAAGGGACTAAAGTTGACAATTCACAATCGAACCACCCAAGTGGTTCTGGCACGCCCGTTTCACATCAATTTAAGATCGGATCTTAGGAGCCGATTTTAGGGTCAACAGCTAGTCCGGAAGCCTAAGAATGGAGAGAATAGTAAATCAAATTACTGCAATTGTTATTGCATTAGCTAGTTGGTACATGGTCACTAGGCTCACATTTTGCAGGCTTAGCTTGTGATTTGCAGATAAGATACAATGACATATGGATGCAAGAGAACAATTAACAACAAAATGCATAAAATAGTGTGAAAGGGCATGAATTCTTGTAACAATTGTAGGGGTGTTTGGTTGCATTGTACAAACTTAAATCGTGACTCTTGTTAAATGCTCTCAATGCAAGCTAAATTCCAGTATTCAATAGAATGGATTTCGAATTCCTTACCGTTGATAGGGGATTTTGTGTCTAACTGGTGCATCAAATATATATATTTATAATATTTTATGCATCACACTCAACTTTTTCATTTGAAATCAACGAGTCAGTGATTCAGCGGTACCAAGTCTCTACTTCTTAAAAGGAGGTCAGAGATTCAAGTCTTAGTGGAGACATAAGTGTGTAAGTACCAAAAAAAAAAAAAAATTCAATTTGAAGACATGAGCTTATTCTTTCTAGACTAATGCCCATTGAAAAAATTAAGTTGTCAAATGTAAAACTAGGAGAATATCTAGCAAAAAATCAAAATTAGGAGATGTTAATGTAATTTCTCATAATAAAAGAAATTCAAAAAGTAATTAAAGTAGAATTCAACATGTGTAATTAATCCCAAAATACAAAGAAAGAAACGCAAGAAACACTTGCACCAAAGTGACGAGCCTAATTCAAATGGGCAATGATCCAAATGCTGTCCCTAACCAAGAATCAAGATCTAACGAACACACAATCTCCCTCTACAAACACAGATATATATGCTGACTGTGTTGAACGTGTACAGGCTTAATTGCCACGTGTATGGTCAGGAGGTTTCGCTGACTCGGCTCCACATGTAAAGGTCTGTTTGCTTGCTAATTATATGATTCGTGTCACAGTTATAGTGAATGCTCTTAGTAGACAAAATATATTATTACTGGAGAGTAATTAATTGTTCTAAATAGGGCAAAGGTCAAAACCTAACCTATTATACTTAGTGTAATTAGAGTAATTAATTGTTCTAAATAGGGCAAAGGTCAAAACCTAACCTATTCTACTTAGTCTAATTATTTCTAAATTATTGTTGCTTTGTTGCTTTTCAATGGTTGCACACAAAAGTAGTGGCTTGGAAGAAATTTCCTAATTTATTAAAAATCAACACGTTTTTTTGAAGTGTGAGGGAAAAACAAGTGAATGTTGAAAGAGAAAGATTGGACCCCATGAAATTTGTATATGAAACCTATGTTGGGTCACTAATGATTTTGTTTTCTTTCAAATTTGGATAAGGACTTACATGGATTCCAATTTCAATGGCCAAGAATATTTGTTTTGTATAACTACATTTAAAGTTATTCAATGTAAATATTATAACACAAACATACTATTTTAAAGAAGAATTAAAGAGTGAATTTCAGTACTTTGAGAATGTAATACTGAGTATTCAATATTTTTTTGAATTTTAACATTATATTCAAATCCTATTGTCTATATAAATATATTTTATAACATGTGTAATTGTTATATTTCAATGGTTAAAAACATAGTAGATAGTTATATTGTGTGGTTAAGGCTTGAAGCCATAGTCAATACACACACATAGTTGAATACCTTGTGTTATATTTAGGTATGAAAGATTTTTTTTTTTTTTTTTTTCAATAATTATAAAAATTTAGGTTTTTTTTAAAAAAATAATAATAATAAAAATAATTTTTAGGGATGAGTGTTGAGTAATGGAAGGTTATTTATTAGTGTGGGAGTAAAAAAAAAATAATAATAATAATAATTTTTACGCTTCAAAGTCTTAATCATGAGTGTTCAGTAATGGAAGGTCATTTATTACTGTGGGAGTAAATTACCCATTAGCCACATCCATATCCATATGTTTTCCAGGTGACATATTATTTATTAATATATTAAAAGCCAAGTCACACCTAAATGATATTCTAAGCCAAATTTTCTGTGTGAAACACTGGCCACTTTGTTCCGAGCGCGTGACAACACTCTATACTCGCCCTTGATATTTTTTTTTTTGGGTGAGTTACTTGAATCAAACATGAGATTGGATAATTTCCATTTCTTCATTGTTTGTACTAAACACTCCAACCACATAAAATGTTATCTTGTTTATCGTACAACACAATGCTTGTTTTATTTTTTATTTTTTTATAGTTCATTATTATTGTTTTCATTCTTTTTTTACCTTAACAAAAAAAGTCACACCAATTAACTTATACTTTCAATCTTTTACTTTATAAAGTGAAAAAATACCATAATATGATAACACTATATTTTAATAGTTAGAATTTGTAAAAACTACCATTCAATTCAAGTTTATTTGTTTTTGTTTTGACTTAATTACAAAAAATTCCCTATCTACTCCGTAAAGTCTTAACAAGTCTGAATTAGATATAATATGTCACCGTCTTTAATTATGAAAAAGATTTGTAAAATTTTTAAGGGATTGGTTTAAGTGGATAAATCACTTAAATTTGGTCCTTCATGAAATATCAGGTTTAAAATTCAACTTCTCTTGAATGAAAAAATTTTTTTGGAGGGGGAATGTAACAAAAGGGCTACTTTGTAACTCTTTCTATGTGTCAAGTGTAAAAAACACCCTTAAAATATGCTTACAGTATATATCACACTCTTCATGTGCAAAAAAATACCCCTAAAGTTTCAATTTGTAACAAATAGACCACTCTAATAAATTTAAACCATAAGTTTATTAAATTACCCTTACTGAACCATTTTATAAAATATATAAAAATAAATAATTTTGTAAAATGACCGAAAATGACACTGTTAGAGGATGCCCCTCTCGTGCAAAAAAAACACCCCTAAAGTTTCAATCTGGTGCAAATAGGTCCCTCTAACAAATTTAAACATTAAGTTGACTAAATTATCCTTATTGAACCATTTTATAAAATATATAAAAATAAATAATTTTATAAAATTAACGAAAATGACACTATTGGAGGACGCCGACAATGGACAAGTAAAGATACAAATATAAAATAAAAATAAAAGTATAAAAGAAAAGTAAAGATAAAAATAAAAAATAAAAATAAAGTTCAAACTAAATAAAACAAAATTCTTCCAAACTCCGAAGACCAGTGCACACTGATATTGAAATTTTTTATTTATTTTTGTTTAATAGCATTGGTACGAAAAAAAAAATAATAAAGAAAAAAAAAATTTAGTAGACAAGAGTAAAGTAGAATCTCAAAAAATTTAAATCCTTGTTCTTAACAAATTCTCAAAGTTTTTTTCAAAAAAAGAAAATGTTTAGAGATATAAATAGAGAAAAAAAATTCAAATATATAAGGTAATGTGCACATAACACTCATAAGTAGCATATGTATTCCCTTGGGCATTTTTGGAAGAGTAAAAGGACAAATCGAGTATTACAATACTAATTTATGTCAGAGAGAGTATTTTTGTACAATGTGAAAAGACAAATGTGAAAAGACTAGAAGTGTTTTTTACATACTTTTTCAAATAGAGCTAAAAATACTGTAATATATTTCAAGTGTGTTTTAATGCACTTGTCCCTTCTTTCTATACTATAGTTTAAGTGGGACAAATTTTAATCAAAGAGCAATTTGCAATGCCCAAATGAGTTTCAATCGAAATGTCACAAACAAACAGCAACAAGATCAAAGCTAACGTTGACTAGGTGGCATTAGAGCATTAATCGATATAATACCAACACATCTGCACAAATGTTAAGTCCTCAGAAAAATTTCATTGGATCATTCTATGTTTACACGAAAAATACCACAATTTCTTCCTCATTTGAACTTCCAAAATTCATCCACTATCTAGAATCATGATTATTTGTCCGATTCCATTCATTTAGTTATACACATACTATTTTGGTGCACAGACACGAAACTCAATATAACATATGTTATGAGTTCCCTGACCAAGAACCATTTCAGAAATCCAATGGCATAGGATCCCCTATTCAATGGATACGACGGCATAGGATCCCCTCTTCACTACATATAACAGCTCAGAAACGACTGTTGCCAGTATAAATCAAAAATAGAAAATTATGCATGCATATTAAAAAAAAAATTGGACAGACATGGTCAGAAAAAATTGTGTTGTATATACACAAGTACTTTCAGTAATTTCCACGAAATCCACTTCGATTGTGACAATGTGGCCGCCTCAGCATTTTGTTGGAGCGTGTACTCCACTCTCTGTCGACGAGCGTGGGCCTCACACTTCTCATACCAACGTTGGACTGGATAAGAACCCTGTCTTCCACCTCACACTCAAAACTGAAACCCTGAAACGGAATATAGAGACGAGTTGGCCAAGTTGGGGATCCCTCTGTGTTTCTCTCTCTAAAACGGCGGAGTGTACGTGTCCGTATCGCAGGCTGATGAACCCAAAACCCCCCAGCCTGACCTTCGTCTTCTTCCAATTCCTCAAAATCCCAACTCCGTGACAACATTTTCTCTCTCAACATCTCTCTCTCTATATATATAGTGGTTTGATGGTTTAGGACTTTGATGGGGGCTAACACTTCTGCTATTCCATCAGACCACGACGAGCCCAACCGGCGATTGAAGCCCAATCTCGGCGACATACCTGAGAGCTGTGTCGCTGTGGTTCTGGGATATTTGGACCCGCCGGAGATCTGCAACTTGGCCCGGTTGAATCGGGTCTTTCGCGGCGCTTCGTCGGCCGATTTCATTTGGGAACCGAAATTGCCCTCCAATTACAGGTATATTACGGAGAAATTGTGGGATGATAGTGGGGGTAATTTGGGGAAGAAGGATATTTATGCGAGGCTCTGTCGGCCCAATCCATTCGATGGTGGCACAAAGGTTTGATTTTCTCTCTAAGATCGCACATTCTCTCCCTAGATTTTAAGGGCGTGTTGTTTGCATTTTGATTTTGATTTTTTTTTTTTTTTTTTAATGTGTTGGGAATTTTGGGTTTTTTACAGGAACTTTGGGTTGACAAGAGTTCTGGTGGTGTTCTTTTGTCGATTTCGTCAAAGGCGTTGACCATCACAGGGATTGATGATCGGAGATATTGGAATCATATTTCAACAGAAGAATCTAGGTGAGTTATATATAAAACCACCAAACTCATATGTACATATACACAAATATAATAAGTATTATTTTTTCTTCTTCTTTTGATCTTTGTCATATATTATTAGGTTTCTTTTAATTCAAGGTGACAATATTGTGTTTATAAAATTAGAATATATATATATGTGTGTGTGTGTTCTTGGTATGTAAGTTATGTGAACTCAATCCCCTTTAATTTGGTTTCTATTAGTTAATAAATCACAATCTAATGCTATTAGTTTGTGACACAGTACTTTAAGATTTAATTTCTTATTGGGTTTTTATTATATATTAAATCTTAGATTTAGTTGAGTATGTGTATGTCATGATTGTGATTTTTCTATGGCCTTTCATTTTCTTTCGGAATTCAAATTTATTGATCACATGTATATAAGGAAAATTTATTGTGGTAAATATACTACTAAATTTCTTATATATATATATACACACACACAGTCACACACACAACTTATCAAATATATATATATAGATACACACACATGGTGTTATACAATTTGTTCTCTTTGGATTTGGTTTATTGTGAATATTGTTAATTCATCAATGGTACATGGTTGTATTATTTCAATTTTCAGGTCAACAAATTTGTGCTCATCTGGTAGATAAACTGTGACCTTTTCTCAAGACCATCTATTGGAGTTTGAACACACCAACTTAATGTAAAACGATTGATTCCTTATTACGATTAATTAGTAATATATTAGGTCAAATAATTGAATTGTTCAGGTGCATAGCTCCAACTTCCAATGGGCTGCAGATGGTATGATCTCTCCTCCCTAAGGGATGTGAGAGTTCGAGCCCCCCTTACGGTAATACTATAGGTGTGCGTTTGCTTGAACTTTCTGTAAAAATAAAAAAATAATAAAAAAAATGCATAGCTCCAACTCCGCGTGTACAAGCTATGCTGGCCTAGTGAAAAATGTTCTTGCCTTCCCAGTGATTTTTTTTTCTTTCCTGAATACCTTCCCAGTGATTTAACCCGAACATGTTTTAGCCTAAAATTCTGTCAATGTTCACTGTGCCTGTGCTATGAGGGCCTCTGCATTTCTTTGTACAGAGAATTTTCGTATCATTATATGTTGAAAATGTGTGATTTTACCCTTTTTTGACTTGTTCACTTCCATTTCATGTAGATTCCAGACAGTTGCATATCTTCAACAAATCTGGTGGCTCGAAGTAGTAGGAGACTTTGAGTTCCAATTTCCGGAAGGAACATATAGTCTATTCTTCAGACTCCAGCTCGGAAGGGCCACAAAAAGACTGGGTCGTCGGGTTTGTAATCCTGACCAGATCCATGGCTGGGATGTAAAACCTGTGCAATTCCAGCTAACCACATCCGATGGTCAACATGCTATATCCCGGTGTTTTTTGGACAATCCAGGGAACTGGGTACACTACCATGCAGGAGATTTTGTTGTTGAGCAGCCTAAAGAATTGACAAAGATCAAATTTTCTTTGACTCAGATCGACTGCACTCATACTAAAGGTGGTCTGTGTGTGGATTCGGTTTTGATATGCCCTAGTAGTTTGGGCAAAGAGTTCAGTGGATCTTTTATGTAGGTGATGAGGAAACCGGATCCCTTCCATAGGAGAGCATCCTGTGCTATGGTCTTGTGTCGCTAGTGCACTAGTATCCTAGTGCAACAGCCTCATCACGAATTGCAACACCATGAAATGACGATGTAACAATGGAATTGTTGCATAAGCGATGTAAAGGCACCAGAGAGAATCCAGGTTTGGTGGTGAGAACTGTAAATATAGAAGCATGGCAGGTGGGTTTTTAGGGGCCCGTAGTGTTTGTATTCCTTGAAGCAATCTGTATTATTATTATTATTATTATTATTATTATTATTGTTATTATTTTCGTTTTGTTCTTCTTTTGTTTTTGTGGGTTTTGTTTTGCGAGATGTTTTATTGTATAAAATATTCAGGAAATTATGCTAGTTGGTTTCTATATTGTACAAAAGATTACCCTCTGCTGTCTGTATTTCCTACCTGTTTTGTTACGTAAGATGCTTTCTGTATTCCCTTCTTGTTTTGTTACTTGAGATGCTTATGAGGGATAACCCTTAATGGCTAGCGAAGGATATTTGGATGGTTAATCGCTGCATATTTGCTGTAGTTTAGTAAAATAGGGAAAAAAAATTGGCCCTTTTTTAAAAAAATAATTATATATATATTTTTGAGAACTGAAAATTAAAAAACATTTGGTAACACTAATTGACATTTTGAATTTGAGATTAGAAAAAATTTAGTACAAATTTTAAATTAAATTTTTTTCAATTCTAAATTTACACCAAACATAACATAAAAAATTTATTTGGTTGTTGAAAATTCATTAAAAGAATAATTTCAAAAGTGACGATACTCAACAATAATTGTGGGTGGGTCACAATTATTGGGGCAATTGCTGTGGTGAGCCCCACAACTCTCGGAGACAATCGATTTGCTCACCACAACCCCGAGAGACAACCGACTATCAAGTTTAGAGATATTTTAGAGAATTCATTTGTTTGTAACAACAAAAACAAACACATATAATCTGTGGCTCTCTTATAATATATTGCTCTATCAGTCTATTGTTCACTTTTTGAAGGAAAGTTAAAACACTATTGAAAGGGTTAAGGTTCTCCTCCACCTTTTCTGTTTCTCTCCAACTTCTTCAATTCTATAATAAGCCAATAGTGAAGTACCTTCATCTCTTTCATTGAATTGCAATGCTTTTTTTATATCATATATTGAATAATCTAGTTTGATTGCTACTTTAATTGGGGTTTGAATACTAATTTTTTTTGGTATGTGATTTAGGGGTATTAAAATTAATTAATTATGTGAAAAGTAGAATGTTGAGGATAACTTGACATTTTAGTTTGAAAATGTACATCATAGCAATGAGAAATTATTAAATATTTCGGGGTATGGAATTCGGAGTAGGGAAGTTGTTGGATCATGGATGAGATAGTGTACCCACCACATTTAAGAACTTGAATGACTCTAAAATACCATATCTCGGAGTATTTAATATTTTTCCCATAGCAATTTGGAAGAGAACTTCAACCTTAACTTTAAGAGTAAATAAAGATAATTTTTCATGTTTGGGCAGTGGATGAAATCTGTTATGAAAAGCATTACAAAAAAAAAAAAAAAATTAATTAAATATGCATAAAATATGATTACACACAATTGCATTTGAAAGGACAATGTCAAATAAAAAATATGTAGGTGGGAGTGTGAGATTTATCACATAACATTAACCTGTTATGATACAGTGGAATTTTCGCCCCCACTCACACAGCACTGTAAAAATTCTTAGAATTCGAAAAATGTATTACGGAGTCATTTTATTTTCAAATAATTAATTCCAATTCTCTTCCTGACTACTACTATAATTTAGAAGTCTTCTATCAAAAAAAAAAAAAAAAAGAAGTCCTGAATAAATACGAAAAAAGATGTACGATCCTTCTCTCATATATATAGTTGTAAATTTAACATATGTTTTGAAAAAAATAAATAAATTTGTAACTACTATTTTTTAAAATGATCAACTTATTATTAAAATTTAATTATTTATTATAAAACTTATTATACCTTTTTTACCGCAGAAAAATACTTTTTTTTTTTTTTTTCCATACAATATATTGATGAAAAATTAATAAATTACTTAAATAAAAAATACCTTCTTTTTCATGTAATATATTCATGAAAAATTAAGAAATTAATTAAATTGTTTTAAAACAATTACTTAAATTTTTTATTTAAACGATTAATTTTAAAATTTAAAAGTAAATTTATGCAAATTTAATAGAGAATATATCATCAAACTAGTATGAATTTTTTTCATAATTTTTTTCAATAAGAAAAATAGATTAAGTGCAATTCAATAAGAAAGTGTATTATGATCATTTAATAAAATATAATTTAGGCATTGGGGCATTTTTCAACAAAATGTGATAGGCATTATGACCATTTAATAAAGAGTAATGATACTTGCACCGATCTGTTGCACTGAATGTTTCTGATTGGTTATTTATACATAGTACATGTAAATGAAGGGCTTCATACAACAAACCGCATAAATAAAGAGTGGGGCCCTCCAATTACATGTACTATGCATAAATAACTAATCAGAAACATTTGGTATAACAAATCAGTATAAGTATATTACTCTATAATAAAATATAGTTTAGACATTAAGATATTTTGCAACAAAATGTAATAGTTCAGGGAATATCATGTATAAAATATAATTTAGGCATTGGGACATTTTTTAACAAAATATAATGAGCATTAAGACCATTTAATAAAATAAAGTTTAAATATTGGGATATTTTGCAATAAAATGTGATTACTTCAAGAGTATTGTGTACAAAATATAATTAAGAGGAATTATTTAGAAATTCAAGCATAATTGAAGGGATTTTTTTTTTGGCATTTTACCTTAGATACAAACCTTCTCTTATAGACTACGTATATAGTTGTAAATTTAACATGTGTTTTGAAAAAATTAAGATAAATATCAACCAACCGATCCAACTACTTGGATCTTATTTTAATGTATCGGACGGTAGGGAATCATTTGTCCTAACCAGTCCAACATGTAGGTTGCAATATCATCTTAACCGACCACTTTACACGTGGCATATAAGCCACGTCATCTTTTCGATTTGATAAAAAATTCCTAAAAGCACTTTCAAAATGTCAACCAATCCTAAGCGGTCGGATCTTCTCTGACCCTCCAATTACAGCCGTCAGATCTTTTATCTTGCTGAACCATAGGTCGTTTTCCGACCTGAATCTGCTCTCTATCTCTCTCTCTCTCTTCAATTACAGAGAGAATCGAGGAGCTGAAAGGACCAGACTTTGACATTTCCTTTCATGAGAGAGAGAAATAGAGAGATGTGAAGAGGGTTTGATTTTTGAATGTGATTGTTCTCTCTCTCTATTTTACCTGTTTTGTTTCGCCAGAGCTCGATTCTTTTCTCTGCTTATTTCAACACTTTCTTCGTTCAACCTTCTCTGATTTTCTTCCATTTTTCTAAGAGTTTTCGACTGTTTCACGCTTTCTTCATCATCAGGAAGCAAAATAACGTTCTGGGTGTCTTTGTTTCTTAGAAACTGTTTCTGGGTGGCAGTCTCTGTGGAGAGAGAGACAGAGATAGAGTAGGTAGAGTGAGTGTTCTGGGAGATCAGTTTTGTGGGCATTTGCAATTTTTATAAACTGGTTCTGGGTTGCTATTTCTGATTTTCATTCTGAAGGTAAAAGGTCTTGCTTTCTCTGATGCTTTATAAAAAAAATGATTTTTTTTCCTTTTCTTTCTCTTATATAAACCCTTTTCCTTTAGAAATTAGGGTTTTTAATGATTCCTTTTAACTGAATATTTGTTATCTTAGCTTTATTCAGTTGGGTTTTTGCTTCTGATTCTGCCTATTTTTGCTTGTAAAAACAGCAGAGACCTAGTGCTATTTCGCTGGCTGTTACAGTGCTTTGAATGATAGTGAAATAGAAAGCAATGCAATTTGAGGTACTTTATTTTTGTACTTATTGCAACAGATATCTTAATAATTATTGTGGGGTTGGTTCAACTTCATGAATTTAAATACATATATGTGCAACTGCAGGCAGAGACTCTTATCTTCTATTCAAAGCAAGTCTCTTTCTCACACTACGTATATTTATGACTAAAAAACTAGGTATACAGTTACAATCTAACCTCCTCCGTTTTTTTATATTTTAAAAGAAGTAGCTACAATCTTACTTGTGTCTTAGATTTTTAGGTATTTGGATCTGATGTAGTCCAAGTGACCAACTACTCTTTGCATTGTGTTGGAGTGCCTCGTATTTTATGGGTTTTACAGCTTTTACTTGGACTATTAAAGGGCATTCTGGGAATTGGAAAAATATCTCTTGATGGCCTTAGTTGGACAGTTGTGGGTTAGTGGTTGAAAGTTCCTTCCTTCATTTTCATCTGCTCTGATATTATAATCTATATAGACACACACATATGACATACATATGTATTTATATATGTGCCACTATCCTTGTTGTCCATGGAATCGAATAATCATTTGACAAAGCTTCTGAGAGGACTCAATCTTCATTAGATATACTCACTATTTATTGTAGGGTCTCGATTTCAGCAAAGAGCAATTATCATTCAAGATTCTCGAAGCTCCTAACTTTAGCCCTCTCTATTTGATTTATTGTTTCTTTAATTAGTAATACAATTTCTGATGATTGCAACTGTCCCACAGCTAGTAATTGTCTGACATAAATGATGATTTATTTTTGTCACCTTTTTGAGGTTGAATTTCTCTAGATTTCTACTTCTACCCTCTCAAGCAACCAGTTTGATCCATACCCAGATCATTTTGTTTGAAAAAATCGAATATGTTACTGTTTTTCTCACCTGGATCATTGCTCTGAAGGTTTGATTTCTCCAAATTTCAATTCTTTCAAACTCCAGTTATCAATTTGATCCACCTCCATAATAATATCATGGTGGAGGACAGTAGACATGCTGCTTTGGTCAACAGCCAGTCGGCCGAAGAATGGTTAGTGCGTGCCGAAGAACTTGTACCTGTGGCACTTGAGAAGGCAAGGGAAGTCAAGGGGTTTTCTGGGCGGTGGAAAAGGATAATCTCAAAACTGGAGCAGATGCCATCGCATCTGTCGGATTTGTCAAGCCACCCTTGCTTCTCAAAGAATGCACTATGTAGAGAGCAATTGCAGGCAGTTTCGGAAGCATTGAATGAAGCAATTGTATTGGCAGAGTTGTGTGTTGAAGAGAAATACAAGGGGAAGCTTCAGATGCAGAGTGATCTTGATGCTTTGTCTGGTAAATTATATTTGAATTTGCAAGATTGTGGGCTATTGATCAAGACTGGTGTACTCAGTGAGGTTACTTTCCCATTAGCAGTAGCTAATTCTTCAGGAGAACCAGGGGCGGCAATTCATGGCAGTATAAGGGAATTGCTTGCCCGTCTTCAGATTGGGCACTTGGAGGCTAAACACAGAGCTCTTGACAGCCTTGTTGAACTCATGAAGGAGGATGAAAGGAATGTTTTGGCAGGTTTGGGGCCGAGCAGTGTTGCTGCTTTAGTCCAATTGCTCATGGAAACTTCTCCTCGAATCCGGGAAAAGACTGTCACAATAATCTGCTTACTTGCGGAATCTGGCAGTTGTGAGAATTGGCTTATTTCAGAAGGTGTTCTTCCACCCCTTATAAGGCTCGTTGAGTCTGGTAGTGCAGTGTGCAAAGAAAAGTCTGCAATTTCGCTCCAAAGATTGTCAATGTCAGCAGACGCAGTCCGTTCAATTGTTGCACATGGTGGGGTAAGGCCACTGATTGAGATCTGTAGAACTGGTGACTCTATTTCCCAAGCTGCAGCTGCATGTACTTTGAAAAATATTTCTGTTGTTCTGGAAGTGCAGCAAACTCTTTATGAAGAAGGCATTGTAAAAGTTATGATCAATCTCCTGGATTGTGGGGTACTATTGGGATCTAAAGAATATGCAGCTGACTGCTTGCAAAATCTAACTTCCAGTAATGACGATCTTCGAAGGTCTGTTATTTCTGAAGGTGGAGTCGAAGGCCTATTGGCTTATCTTGATGGTCCCTTAACCCAAGAATCTGCATTATGGGCATTAAAGAATTTGGTTGGCTTGATTTCTGTGGAAGTTTTGTGTTCACTTGATCTCCTTCCCCGTTTAGTTCACGTGCTAGGATTGGGATCCTTAGGTGCTCAACAAGCTGCTGCATCGGTGATTTGTCGAGCCTGCATTTCAACAGAGATGAAGAAATTGGCTGGTAAAGCTGGATGTATACCACTGCTTGTCAAAATGCTTGAGGCTAAGACAAACAGTGCCAGAGAAGTTGCTGCACAAGCAGTTTCAATTTTGGTGACACTCTCATACAATTGCAGAGAAGTTAGAAGGAACGATAAAAGTGTGCCAAATCTGGTCCAGTTGCTTGACCCAAGTCCTCATAACACAGTGAAAAAATATGTAGTTTCTTGCCTTGCATCACTCTCCTCGAGCAAGAAATGTATGAAGCTGATGATTTCGTATGGAGCGATTGGGTATCTCAAGAAGCTCTCTGAGATGGACATCCCTGGTGCCAAGAAGCTACTCGAGCAGTTGGAAAAGGGAAAGCTAAGAAGTTTGTTCAGCAGGAAATAGAACATTATTTTGGATTGTCCTTGTATAATGAAGTACTTCCTATTTCCTCTTTCCGGATGATCTTTGTTTCATTATCTGTATGAAAAAAAGTTGTTAATATATGAATTCAAATGCGCAAGCTTGTTAATCTATGAAGTGATTTTTTTTCCTCCCTTTCTGTTCTATTTTCGATTGTTTGGATGGAATAAAAGAAACAAGGGGATTCTACAGTTAGGTATATCATCTCAAACGACTAGAGACGGTTTCACCATTTATGTATGACTCCCGTTGGCCGTTGGAGCAACAACTTTCTGCATCTTTCCATCTTCAGCAATACCATAAAATAGCTCTAGCATCTTCAACAAGGTAAGCTATGCATCAAAGGATTTTATTGCACATTGTTTTTCCTAGATCTCGTACTCTTATATCCATTCTCTGTTTATAATATTGCATTCTCTTTTGTAATTTCTTTTAGGTAATTTAGGGATTATAGAGTCTGGAAAGGTTGCCATTATTCGAAGGCCATTGCATTACCTTCCATTTCTCTAATATGTGTAATGTTGCATTTGAGCCTCTATCAGAAAGATGAAACTTCGAAGAAATTACAGCTGTATCTACTTTCTGAATGAAGGTATCATTTTTATCTTGAAGGCTGAATAGAAATTTTTGGAAGATTGCTTCTTTCTTCTCTAAGCTTCTTAAGTTTCCAATTCGATGATGTTTCTTGTACATCTTGTCATGGACTGTCTAATGTGCCAAAGGTGGAAATGCTGATACTTATATTAAAACCGAGTTCTGACAACTTGAACTCAGATGATATTTGATGTTTGAAATAAGCTTAAATGTACATATCTAAATGCCTTTCTTCATGTATATTGCATGTTTCTATGCTGTGTTTATATTCCAATGAGATTTTGTTTAACCTTGAAATAATTTCAAATTTTTTGAAATAATTTGAATTGTATAGCATCTTTGTTGAACAGGGAAGGCAAATTTGGTACCCTCTGTCCTTCAGAAATGAATGTTTCCAAGTAAAGCTGGACCAAACATGTCACTGATTTTTCAGCCAACCGACATGAAAATAAAGGTTGATTTTTTATATGACAGAGAACTTCTTACTTGCAAAATTGGAAAATTTGGGCTCTAGTTCGTTATCTTTTGGATGCTCTGGAAATCGTTATGTATCATTATCTACTTCATATGTAGCATTTTCAGATGAGTTGAGTATGGTAGTCTCTAATGAGTTAGTTTCTGATTCCGACAGGTATGTATCATTATCTACTTCATATGTAGCATTTTCAGATGAGTTGAGTATGGTAGTCTCTAATGAGTTTGTTTCTGATTCCGACAGGTCATTGAGGACTTCAATTTCAATTTTATGATTATCATCATCATCGCTTGGTTATCAAGGTGATTTACTGCATTTTATTGACCAGCTTAGCAGTCTATGCCTTTTTATGAAGTCCTAAACCCCCATGTTCTGCATTTTGTCCATTTTCTAGAAAATTTCTCTCAACAAGCAACGAAACAGAACCTGATCTCAGCTATGTAACTCTTAGAAGAAAATATTCAAAGATTGTGTGTTGGTTTTGCTATGCTTCCACCGCCAAGTTTAGAAAAAACTAACACGACATCATTGAAGATATTGTTTGTTATGCAGCGGTAACAGCACAAATTGCACAATGGCCTCCAGCCCCACCGCGTTGGCATGGTCATTCTGCTTCAACCTCCGTCAGCATGGAGCACATGGACTTTAACATGGAATGACATTCGTGACCGATGAACATTTGGGAATAGTTGTCCTGATCAACGGCCTTAAAAATGATATGGTAACAACTTTTAGTGGCCGCTGAGCAGAGTGAGTCGAGGTACTTTCTCTACTACTAATGCAGTAATTTGGATTAACACTCTTTATGACAGATTGTTTCATTCAGTTTCAAAATGCCACCATTTTTGGATGAGACCACTCATTATTTATCTTAACCTTCTATTGACATGTTATGGTATGAGACCAGCTTTCTTTTTACTTTTTTCACCAATATATATATAAATAAAAATAAATAAATATATATGTATATATATATATTCACATGCAAGTGTATACAAAAGAAGCTAAATTCATGTATTGAATTGACCTAAGGGAAATAGAAAGATTTTTTTTTTTTTTTTTTTTTTGGGTGTGTTCGGTAGTTATAAATTTGAAAAGAAAAAGAAAGGAAAGGAAAGGAAATGAAATGAAATAAAAAGATTTGGAGTGATACCGATGAATTGATTTTTGTATTCTTTTCAAATGGAAAAAAAAAAAAAAAAAAAGGCTAGTATTTTAAATAAATTTTGCCAATACCAAATTTGTTCTTATTTTTATTTAAGTCAATTTTTTTTTTTTTTTGGTCAAAATCTATTAAAAATGGTATGATAGTAAATGCATTAAAATAGATTTTTTTTTTCTTTTCTTTTTTTCAAATATGATTACTATCATTTTCATTATTTTTCTTTTATTAATCAATCAAACACACTTTATTAATATTATCTTCTCCTTTTCTTTCATATATATATTTTTTTTCTACCATACCAAACATAACCTTAAATTCAATTTCAACAATTGTTTTATGCGTTGAAATGTAGAACAAATATGTAGGAACTTAATTTAAGTGAATAAAAAAATACCTTTTCAATCACTATTTCTTGGTTTCACGTATGTAAATCGTGTTCAACACATTTATTCTCTTGAAATCTATTAGAGGATCAGGGGTTTAAAAAAAAATTAAATCTAAGTAGAGGATCCGAAAATGAGAAGACAACAGAAAAATAATCCAGATTAGTATTGCCATTATCCTTGTGTCCAGTCACTCCTGTAAGTCCTACGGTATCCAAACACTCACGTATACATATCGATACGCGCGCGCGTGTGTGAGAGAGAGAGAGAGAGAGAGAGAGAGAGAGAGAGAGAACCCCCTTGTCGTCACATCGCCAGATTCAATGCATATACCTCGGAAAATCGGCGACTCCACCATCACACTCTAATGACTCAACAAACGTCCGATACGATTCCACAGGAAAATCAACGGACAAGATCATGACTTGAAAGTGGGGCCCAGAGAGTACACCTGGACCCACCATGCCTACGTTACTCTGGAACACATTCGATAAAACGTAACAATTTTTAATTTGTTTGTTTTAGGAAGGAAAGAGAGGACCAAAACAAGCCCTTATCTCAGACTCTACCACGAAAGATCGAGATAGCTGACGCTCCAGAAACCCAAGCCTCTGAAATTTTTAGAGAGAGAGAGAGAGAGAGAGAGGGTGTGAATTTCAAGGCAAAAGCTCAGGCACACCCCCCGGTAAAATCTCTCTCTCTCTCTCTCTAAATCTCTTTCTCTCTCTCTCTGTGTATATATATATATATACGTGTAGAATCTGCGATTCCTACTTCTTTCTTTCGATTGTTGGTCGCTGCTTCAGGTATAGAGATAGCTAATCTGTTTTCTTTTACATGAGTTGTTATTGATTGATGAATAAGGGTGTATGTATGCTGATTCGATCTCGTTTGTATGCTTTTATTTGGTTTACTGTTTCTGGAGACGAAAGATTTGATTGATGGAAAGGTTTTGTGATTTGATTTGTTTTGTTCAAGCCAATTTCATCTTTTAATTCTAGTCAACGGGAAAAAAATAATAGTCTTTTAATTTTTTAGGGAGGAGTTTTAAGTTATAAATATTAAATTTGTAAGGTTAGGATTTGGTTGATCTGATTACTGTGTCACCCTTTGTTTGGATACTGGGAAAATGGAGGAAATGAAAAAATAAGTGAAATTTGAGTAATATGTTTACCAGTGCTTTGATCCAAAACATGATGAGCTCAACACAGCCAAAACATATATATTTGGGGAAATAGAGGTTTTTGTAAACATACTGTGTTGAGTTATGCAGAATATTTTATGTAATTTTTTCTTTTGTTTGGAGTTTTTGTTTATCCTTTTTTTATATTACATGGTTCTGTATGCTTGGGTTTTAGTTTATAGGTAAGTTTTATGTGTCTGTTTTTTGCCGGATATTATTCTGCATAATTGACATGGGACATTTGTATGACGTAGTGGTTAATTTAATGGATTGTTTTCACCTTTAGTTTTGGATTATCAAGCTTTATTAATGTCATTTGGATGCTTCAATAAATGCATTTTAGTTTGGATTTTGATTGCATTGAAGTAAGGCCTTGGATTCAGAATTGAATCATGCTATTCTAATTTCCCTATCTTCTTGTTTCACATACCAATGAAATAACTAATGGATTTCAAATTCTCATAAGTCCATAATCTGCATGAATAATTGCTCCTTGAAAGCAATTGCTTAGAGTTGGAGTTTTGAATAGAATCTATATTTGTTTAATGGTTGAAGTTGGATATTGACTATTACTCTCAAAATGCTAATAACAGTTGTAAGTTCCTATTTATGATTATATTTGTGTCTAGGACTGCAGCTTGTTTAAAAATGGTTTGAGAGACAAGGCTACAATTCTATTGATGCATTATAACTAAAATGTCCTCTGCACTTTGGTGCATTTCCGATATTACTTAAAAGGTCTTTTTGAATATTAATCTCTCTAGCAACTGGCAGCTTCAGGCTCTCTGAGAGTACATCTCTCTAAATATTAATGGAAATATGGAATTTGTTAGATCAAATGGTTTTTCTTTTATTTATCCTAAGCTAATTGATTTTCTTGAGGCAACTTTGTGTGATTTGTTTGTCCCGCACAATTCAAGGGGCAGGCAGGCAACTGATACAGAAAGCGGAATTAAATCATATAAATCCCTGTGATTTATATTGCTGTGCTTCTCATCTGTTCTTCATCATCAAGTTTTTTAGCTGGGTTTGCTTCTTAGTCCCGGCTTCCCCCTTATTTGTAAAAGGATTACCCATGTATATGCGTCATATACTCTTTTTTTTTGGAGTATTTGTCAATAAAAAGGTGCTAAAAACTGCTGGCACACCATGGACATAGACAAACATCATATTCAAAAACCTATATACAAATAAAGAAACTAAAGAATGCAGATTCTTCCAACTTCTTCAAACTCCCCGAAGGTCTTCCTTCACTCCTGTGTCGTACAACTGAATGGACCACTCAAAGGTCTAAGATATTGGAATTCATGCTTTGACTAGTCTTCTCTTCACTGCACCAACCCCATTCTTTTTCCCCTTCACTGAATGCCTTCTGATATGCCAGCCAATACTCTTAGTTTTCATGGTATTTGATATGGTTGTACGACACATTGAAAAGGAATTATGAAACCTTTTGCCTTGCTTAACACAGCTTGCATTTCATGAGGTTGGGAATCACCTCATTTGGGTTTTGTAATATGCATATGTTGGTGCACGGTGCATGATCACTACAAAAAAGGGAAAAGAAAAGGGATGGCTTTTTTTTTCTCTCTTTTTAGATTAACTATGTTTAGTTGTTGTTGTTGCTTTTGGTCAATGTAACCTTTTTGCTTGTATATGTTAAACAAACCTAGCATGCTTGTAATGTTATTTTTTTGCTTTTTCAGGTTAGTTGGATTGAATTTGCCAATACCTTGACTTTGCAGGTACATTCAGGATAGAGAATGAGTACACTAGACGTAGCCAGAGCAGAACTTGCTCTTGTGGTTCTGTATTTGAACAAAGCTGAAGCCAGGGACAAGATATGCAGGGCAATACAATATGGTTCAAAATTTTTGAGTGACGGACAGCCTGGCACAGCCCAAAATGTTGACAAATCAACCAGCTTGGCTCGAAAAGTTTTCCGTCTTTTTAAGGTCAGTCTATTGTTGCTAGTAACTATGATTAATGTATGCTTCATTTATTTTTTTGGTGCATGTACTTCGTTATTACGCCCCTTTATTTATACTAAGTTGACAGTGAAGAAAATGTTCTGGCTGAATATCCATTTATGTGAGTGGGTGTCAGAGGCACCCTGTTTTGTTATATATGTTGTGAAACTGATTGCTAGCCTGATGTAGTTGGATGAAGACTTTGCTGAGAGAATGCTGTAAAAAGACTAAAAGAGATAAACTTGTATTGGTATGCCTTCATTTATATTTTTGCATATTTTATTTTTCATCTTCTATGCAGTTTGTCAACGACCTGCATGCTCTTATCAGTCCAACTCCTCAAGGAACTCCTCTTCCACTTGTTTTGCTGGGAAAGGTATAATCGGACTGCTGATTGGATACTTTACTCTTCTTTTCTTTTTTTTTCTTTTCTTTTCTTTTTTTTCCTTTTTTTTTTTTTTTTTGGTGACTTCCTAACCACTATGCTTGTCTCAGTCTAAAAACGCATTACTGTCAACTTTCTTGATTCTTGATCAAGTTGTCTGGCTTGGGAGGACGGGCATTTATAAGGTATGTTCCGTATGGAATGAAAGCGTCTTATTCCGTTTTATGGTTTTGCATTGAATTCCATGGGAAGTTTTGGCAAGAAGAACTTAGATATTGTGTTGGTTATATTCAGAACAAAGAACGTGTAGAGCTACTTGGCAGGATATCTCTTTTCTGTTGGATGGGTTCCTCAGTCTGCACTACATTGGTTGAGGTTTGCCACATTCCTCTTTTTACTTTGCATATTTTATTTTTGTAGTTAATGCTTTGATTATTTATTTTGTTTCAAATTGTACAAGCGTTAGATAATTATGTAACAAATTTCGCTCGCCGCTTCTCCTTTTAGGTTGGGGAGCTTGGAAGGCTTTCCTCATCAATGAAGAAGTTAGAAAAGGATCTTAAGGGTAGTGATAAACATAAGGTACCTTGTCATGGCAGTATGAGCTTCTAATTATTGTTGGTTATGAAATATTTTTTATGGTTTGTGATGCATTTGTGAATGCAGAATGAGCAGTACCTTAGTAAACTTAAAAAGTCAAATGAGAGGTCCCTAGCCCTCATTAAAGCAAGCATGGACATAGTGGTTGCAGTTGGGCTGCTTCAACTGGCACCAAAGAAAGTCACTCCTCGTGTAACAGGAGCCTTTGGATTTGTTAGCTCTCTCATCTCTTGTTATCAGGTGCTCATAAATTCTTACCTCCAATCTCTATTCATAATTGCATTCATATATATCAGAATTTGACTGGGAAACTGTAAAAGGATCATTTATATAGTCATGCCTAATAGCATGCCAATTAAAATTAATTATTATATCTGTGGAATCTTTAACTATTCAAACCAACTATAAATCAACTCAACAAAGACCTTGCCCCCCAATTATTTGGGGTCGGGTAGATAAATACAAGGCCATTTACCTTATTACCTCAGATAAACCATATGCTATCATATCTTTCCCAACTCTGTTATCCCTAGTTTGTTTTGATCATTTTATTCTCTTAGCATTACCCTCAATAATAAAAAAGCCATTACCAAGTGCCGGTATTCTCTAGATGGTGTGCTGTGAAAGGAAGAAGTCAGACAAACCTAACTGTTGGCATTATTTTAACACAAAGTGACTACTTTTAGACTATCAGCCGTACATTGGTGAATTGATTACCAGGTATATTCATGCTTGCCAGTCCAGCGTTTTACCATTACACCAAGCAATCCCCCAGCAATCATTTGCATTTTGAGATGAACAATCCCCTAGCAATCATTTGCTTTTTGAGATTTATGAACGTTAGAAAATCATGGTTGGGATCTATATTTAATAAATTTGTTTTTGGCATAGTTAAGGTGGGGAAATCTGAGTAAAGGTCCTGCCTTTTTCTTTTCATGACTATCCATACTTCCAAGTCGCCCTGCTTTTCTGTTTGTTAAGATTTTCCTTGTTTCTGTTATTATGCAGTTGCTTCCGTCGCCACAGAAAGCCAAGACATCCTGAAGGAGGCAGCCCCATTTGTCCAACAAGCTTCACTGTTTATTTAAATAATCTTTCAGACTCTTGATATATATCCATGTTAGTGTATGATTTTGAGCAATTTGCTGACATGTAGGGTGAGATTCACATTTAGTCTTCCCCTTTTGATAGTAATAATATGTTGTGTCCTTTACATTCAAATATTCTTAACACAAGAATTGGTCACTTGTCCATCACATTGGCTTGCAAATGCAAAATGGATTGACTTGCATGTTGTATCAATTATAGAACCGTTTTTGACTGGAAAATATATCTTGTAGATAGGGTACTTCATGTGGTCAGATCATACCATAGTACTCCATTGTTTTACAAGTCTTAATTGGGGAATTATATATTGACCACACTTTTTGCTTATGTTACTTTGGGGAAGGCAATATTTGAAACTATGTGAAATTTGAATAATCCATCATGTTTCCCTTTATGCATTGTTTATTGTCCATGTTATGGTTCCTAATTTGGGGGTTACACACATACATGGGCAATTACAATTTCCATTGCACATTCTTTCGCCTCGCATATCTTTGACAACTACGTGTTTTTTTTATACATAATAGTGAAAATAGACATTAATTTTTATAAAAAAAAACAGGAAAATTGGGTGATATATATATATATATATATATATAAAGGAAGAAGAAAAAACAGAAGGAAAAAGAAAACCAGTGTGTACTGATGGGTAGTATCCATGCATATATATAAACCTTTTTCTTCTTCCTTTTTTTTTTTCTCCCAAAATTTTGTTTTGTCTACTTCCCTATCCTACCTGAATGAGATTGGAGACAAGGAGATTAATGATATTGTTGAATATCGTTTCATAGTAGTTTTTGAAAGAAGACCTTATGTTAATTAGACTGTATATTAAGAATTAATAGTTCTAATCCTTTCAGTGTTAGAGGCTACAATAAGACTTGGTGCCTAACAGATGAACAAGACATGAAACTTTTCTCAGTTCATTGGGTGGTTTATATCAGATTAACGATAAAGCATTTTCGTGAAATGTGACATAAAAATAATTTCACAGTGCCTATAAATTACAATAACCAATAATTCATTTTCGTGATTAAAACACTCATTCTTGGAGAGGATTAGATTCGCCACTACTAACAGTCAACACTCGAACCATTAACAAATTTTTACTGCTTCTCAGCTCTTTGGACAGAAACTTTATTACTAATCTTTTCTTACATATCATATGGAGATTGACTAAAGGATGGAGGAACCACCACAGAAGAAGAAACCTTGAACCTCTTACTCCTAGAAATGTTGTAGCTCTTGCCGATACTGATCTCCTCTGAACTATCCATACAACCCACCATTTGATCCCCGGAGTCTGACCCATCTGACTCCATTCCGTGTTGCCGGAATCTGACACACTCGTTGCTACAATCGGACACCCTAGAGCTGATCTCCCAAGAAGGGGAGGCTGCATCATCAGCCACGTGGGGCACCATAATGCTTGGTTGAACCTTCTCAGTGTTCTTGATATGCACAGGACTTTTGTATTGGTAGCTCCTGAAGTTGAATATGCTAGCAAAAGTACTGAAGTGATCACTAACCCTACTCTTTGGTGACTTGTTATCTGTTGACCTAGCCATTACACTCTCTGGGTTCTTGCTTAGCTTGGCTTTGAAGGAAGAGAAGCTAAGCTCATGTCGCCCATTTGATTCTGGTGTTAAGCCAGATTGATTTGAGTTCCAATTAGTTGCTGTGAAGTTGGTTCGCGCCCTTTCTCCGCGCAGTGCTCTGGCTGCTCCATCATAGGCTCGAGCTGCCTCCTCAGGGGTGTCATAAGTTCCAAGCCATAGTCGCATACGTTGAGAAGAATCCTTGATCTCAGCAACCCATCTTCCCGATGGCCTTTGTCGTACACCAACAAATCTACGAATTGTAGATTTCGTCGGCTGTGCCATGGCAGCGGCGGCGGTGGTGGAAGTCATAACAAGGTTAGTCTTTGTAGTTTCAGATCCGGCCATGAACATGTGCAGAACCTAGTCAAAGTGGAGTTCTATGTTGAATTATGAATAGGATTCCCTTGTGTGTGTGTGTGGTTCGGTGAGGACAAACGGGTAGAAGAAGAAGTTGTTCTATAGTATCATGCGAATTATACATGAGGAACAGCTGGTATTGATATGGTACTATAAATAAGGTTATTCAAAGAAGTGATGAAGGTATAGTACTTGCTCTCCTCAATTATTTGTTTGTTTTTATCCCATTAAATTTTATTCCCACTCTTGTGCACCATATGTACTTTCAAACTAGACAAAACAAGAGGAATTAGATATACAAATAGTTTATGCTACTTGATGAATCAAGTGTCAACCATGTCTCAGCTATCCCATATGTACTGTTGTAAGTTGTAACAGTACCTTGTGTATGTAATAAAGAATGGCTTAGATCGCTCACACGTACGAGTATTCTAGGTCGTTCTTTATTGTATAACGCGATGTTGTTACAACAGAACGCTACATGTATGAGTGATGTTGTTACAACAGAATGCTCACACTGGTGAAAGATTTGAACTGTCCTCTGTTATACACCACGGTATTGTCATAACATAACACTCACACTTTTTGTGAGTGATTTGAGTTGCTCACTATTATATAACATGGTATTGTTAGTTCTTGAGATTTCAAAGAGATGAATTATACAGCCTAGGAGTGAGTATTCATTCTTTGCTTTCAAAATTATTTTTCTAACAAGCCATGTATGTAGAGGACCAATACCAAGTAATTGACCAATTTTTAGTTCAACTATTTGAAATAGACTTATGTCCAAAATCAACCATAAACAGGTTTGGCAGCAGTGGATCAATTCAGTTTCAAGCTGAGTCAAACACCTTTCCCAAGGATTAAATCTGAGAGAACCAGACAAAAGAAAAGCTGTCCCAGTTTGTCAGCTTGTACATGAAAGAGCGTTTTGGAACGTTGAATTTCAGAATTTTAAAATCTGGCGGGAAAGATTAGTTTAATCTGGTAGAGACGTGTAGGTAACCCCTTGCGCCTCACCACTTGGGAGAGACAACAGTTTGTTGGGCCCTGGAATTCCATGTAGTGTCGCTTGTGTTGTCTGCATTTCACTAACCCAAAACCCTAATAATGAATAAATCATCCATCACCAACTATGATTATAATTACCCAATCCTTTGACTGTGGTTATGAACTGAATTGGTCTAATCTTGGAGGGTTATTGAGGAGATTGTAATTCTGTCAAATTTAAGGCCAATGGTAGTTACTTGGCATAGTGACAAGTGTTAAAAGTTCGATCCTCCTCAAGCCCCTCGATGACGGAGTTCCGTAGACTGGGCTAACCCTTAATGCATATTTGCATGATTTTTGAGTTTCAGTCACAAAATATCCAACTAGCAAAATGGTATGAATAATACCCTAGTCACACAAGTGGAAGCGGGAGTGTAGAAAAGACAAAATTATCACACTGAGTGGAAACAATGTACGAAGTATGAGAACCGCACAAAAAAATTGTGCGACTTAAATGACTACTACACAAGACAGAATTCTTATGACATCAATCTTTTCGGACAATAGAACTGTAACATGCGAATCAGTCATCTTATGATCAGATTAAGTTCATTCACTACCACCGAAATGAAATAAACAAACAGGGCCATGTTCTTACTACTACTCCTTTCGCTGATAACTGGATCTAGAATTCTGAACTAAAAATACAAACTCAGGAGTTACCAAACACCAAGTGCTCAAACAAATTGCTAAAAAAGCGTTCCTACTAAAATTAGTCGTATTTTTTCACCTTTTAAAGTAAAAGGTCAAAGGTTCAAGTCTTGATAGAATAGAAACTTGCAAGTGGTATAATTCTGACAAATTGATAAGGTCAGTCTAATGCATGTAACATATATTCAGGTATGATAGTCAGACTAGTTTTTTCTTATCATAGAATGCTGCAAGTGGTATAATAAAATAGAAACCAGCTAGAGTACCAATAACAGGACATATTAAAAGAGAGATTAAATTATAAAAATAAAATAAAAAATAATAATAAAAAAAAAGGTCCAAACATATTACAGCAAAGCTGCAGGAGTTCATTTGTCATATAGCCATTGGATAGATGCCCAACAAAACTACTGTCAGTAGCCAATTAATTGAAGTAAACAATTAACCTATATATAGAACCTACTTTTAATGCAAATTTAAAATAGGTCATTATATTTGACAGCACTAAATAATTATATTGTGGGTTGAGAAGTGTGTTCTTCCCAAAACAAGTCAGTTTATATTTCTTTTGATTCTTTCCCTTTCAAAAAACAAATAACTTTCCCAGCTAGATTTTATCCCTGCCCCTCCATGTACTGATACTGAAGAAACAAGACTTACCACAAGTGCCTTTGTTGGCGAAATGCTTGCCAAGCCCTTAAATTGCACCATATTACTCCTTATCGATAATGAAGTACCTAGTCAGATTAAGTCATTAGGCCATCACATAATGTGCCCCATTAATCACGAGCGCTGGAAGGGACAATTGGGTATAAACCTAACTTTTGACATTACTTACAGAAGTGTGTGGGATCAAATTCAAATCCATGGTATAAATCCTACGAACATGACTTTTTACATTTTTACTACTGCACCAAACAATGAGATTTTCAAACTGCAAGATCTATAAGTTGCAAATTAGCAACATCCAAAAGGCCTCTATGAAATACCATGCAGATAAGAGTCTTGTACTGTTAAGATGTACAATTTTCTAAATAAAAATTCAAATTAACAAAAGCCACAAGGAGAGGGGGGGAGAGAGAGAGAGAGAGAGAGACCTAAGGATTTTTGTACAGGAAAAAATAAACAATTCTGTCTTATATTGCAAGTTGCTGGTAAAAATGCTTCTGTTAATGAGGAATCCATAGACAGCAATACGATGTCAGGTACCAATTCTTTTTATATAATTAAAAAGATATGCATCGACAGCCACGAGGGGTGTCCAGAATTTTCATGGAATCAAACTCACCCTACAATAGATTTGATTCCATTGTGATTCTCTGTGAATTTTTTGGTTGATGGCAATAAGAATCAAATCCCCCCCTCCCCACCCAAAACAACCCACCCCATCCACAATTATGTGGAGTTCTCTACATCAAAGACGATTTATTTCATCTTCAAGTTTTTCTTCATCATAGCACCTGATAAATCCTTCTCCTGCAAACAAAGTGATTTGGTGTTGAATTCACGGTCTTGTTAGCACATTGTGTATTGTTGTATTACTTCCATGAAGATTTTCATCATCATAGCATCTGATAACTCCTACAAACATAGTGATTTGGTGTTGAATTTCATGGTATTGCTTCCTCTACCTACATTGCTCAATTATTCCTCCTCATGTGCCAAATTTGTTTGGTTATTCGCCATAGTCCCACTAGGACAAGGCGCGGTAAACAAGCTATCCTTAGCAGCCAAAATCAACCAACAAATTGTTATTAGACAAATAGCTGGGAAGTGGGGATGGGCTTCTTGTCAAGGTTGTTAATGCCTTAATGAGTAGACATGTGCCCACTAAGAAAAGAAATTCCTATATTACACAATTTAAGGAGAAAATTCTTCTTTTTCCTAGCAGTTCCTTCTTGATGAACAGTGGATAATATATGAAATACGAATTAGCACATTGATAGCTAAAGGTGCGGCCCAAGTTGGGCAAAGATCGTGCTTTTTACTTCACATAATCTGTGTCTTCTCGTGAATTTTCATTCACTTTAGAGTTTGAACATGTGCCATGATTCAAAATTGATTGAAATTACTTGTTTTTATCTACATTGGAGAAACTAACTATGGCAGTCTTGTAAGGTTGTATTAAAGACCAAAAAAATAAACAAGGTAGGCCGCAGATGGTAGTATAGAGTTGAATGCATCTCTATCTGTTTAATCAACCTTGTTATTCTCAAAAGGACTAGCACAGTGCACGAGGCTCCGTTACTACCAGATTTGGGGAGAGTTATATGCACACAACCCAGAGACTGTGAACCCGTGAAGGTCACAATGGACCTGCCCTCAACTTAGGTATTCTGAAACCTCGAAATCAGAAGTCAAAACTACATGATGCTAAAGTGAACAAACACCATTAAAAGCAAAAGCTTAAAAAATGTAAAGAAAAAAGTTCCAACCTTTTGAAGGAATCAAACAGAATATTATTGATTATTGAGATTATCATTATACATTACATCATATAAGCTACAAAGAGCAACAAATTCAAAATCCAATACCATGAAAACTTCAAAATTCAACTAACATTCAACATTTGACACACACATTACAACATATAATAAAAAATGAGCTCAAATCAGATCAAAATACTCAAATCAAATCAAACCCAAATAACATCATCATAAACCCAACTCACCAAATCAAGAATCATCATGGACTGCAGTTCCAACCGGTACACGAACATCCCTGTAGTGACAAACATATGGTGCATCGCAGCCCACGAAAGGCCCAGTCCACTTCCCTTCATCAATGTAGCTGGCGTCCCAAACAGAGGCATACAAGAACATGGGTTTCTTAGGAAACCCTAAACCTTCCTCCTTCTTCTCTCTCCTCACCATTTTCCCATCAATCAACCACTCGATCACATCTGGGCTCCACTTGATCACGTACTCGTGAAACCCATCAGAACAATCGAAACCCAGATCGTGTACGATCTCTCTGTTTCCAGTCCCTACAGTGTAGTAGTTGGTTTGGACGATGGACTTGTCTTTGCCCAAGAACTCGAAGTCGATCTCATCTTGGGACTTGTCGCCTTCGAGAGAGGAGAGGTAGATGTTGAAGTTGAGGCCACTTGTGTTGCCTTTCGGGCACTGGATTTGGGCGGAGAATGTGCCGTGGAGGAAGCGGGTGGTGGAGCGCCACCGAGCGCCGCCGCGGTGGTCGAATGTGATGGTGATGGAGTCGGAATCCTGCGAGTGGGTGCAGGCGTCGGGGGTGTAGTCGACGGCGATTTGTCTGAGGGTTTCGGTTTGGTGCGGTGGGGTCTCTGGGTGGAGTGCTGGGTCTGCCATGGTGAGCTGTTGAGGATCTGTTTTGGTAAGACAAATGGTTGTTGGTGATTATTTTGACCCCTTTGATCTCTTATCTGACTTTTTTAAACTGTCCGATTTAGATCTACCACAATCACGCTTAGTAGTTAATACGTCGTCTCTTTAAGGGTCAGTTTGGTCGGGAATAAATGGAAGGCAAAATAAAAGAAAGGAACGGACATGGAGTTTTGTGTTTGATATAAATTTTAGGTTTTGTTTGATTAGATGGAAATAGTTAAAAAAAGAAATAAAATAGAAATTTTTTCAATTTTTTTAGAGTTTGAATAGATAGAAAGACAAAACTAATGAAAAATTTTGTTTTCATACTTGTCTATTTTCTCTCAAAACTTTTCTTGCACAAAACATAGGAAAATAATTTTTTTTGCCTGGAATGTTTGCTTTTTTACTTGACATTCCTATTTTACCCATTAACATAATTATGAAAAATAATTTCTTCTTTTATTTGTGTACTGAATTTCTAAGAGGCAAGTTCGCTCCAAAACAACTTTTTCTTCGTTTTTTTTTTTTTCTTTTCACCTTTCATTTTTTTTTTTTTTTTTTGCACAAGTTCATATATAATTGGTGAACAACAAAATACAATCAAATCTCTCTAAAAAAATTAGTATTGCCATCAATACATCTATGTGTTTTTTTTAAATTTCATTTCTCATATACTAATAATTACTTCTACTTCTGCCATAGAAAATATTATGAAGTGTTATTTTAAATATAAATAATTATACCATTATTTTACTATTTCTTTGCTAAAAATAGACATCAACAAATACAAATTCATTTATTTATTAGTATTTAAAGTTATAAGGGTAAATTTGGTATCTTTAATCGATTTCTTTTCACTTTCATGCTATCCAAAATAACAAATTAATATTTTTCTATAATTTTCTTAAATAAATTTTCATTCTAACCAAATACATGGTGGAAAATAAATTTTTTCTTATTCACTTCACTTTTCTTTCACTTTCCATTTCTTTTATTTTCTTGTTTATTTCCATCTAACTAAACGGAGCCTAGAAGAAAAAGAGAAGAAATGTAAGGATTTGGAGGAACATGTTTAAAACTTGAATGGTTATTATGTTATCCCTTAAAAAATGGGAGGAAATGAATGGAAATGGTAGCATTTTTAATGAAATTTTTATAATGTCAAATTTACTCCTATTTTTATAAAAGACAAGAACCTTGAAAAAGGTTATAGTGGTAAATTCATTAAAATAGTTTTTTATTTTTTCTTCCTTTTTCCAAACATTACTATCATTTATTTTATTTTCTTTTATTAGTCAACCAAACATGATAAGTAACTCACACTATCTTTTGTAATTAATGTTATCATTTCTTTTATTTTTCACTCTACTAAATATAGCATAAGAGACTAAAATAATGCCTTTAAATATATTCAAAATCATTCTTGTCCATCTTTGGCATTAGAAAAACTGTCTCCCAATCAGTGAAAATTTTGAACTAATAGACTTGAGTACTAGAATAGATCGTGTTGATGAAATCACTATTTCTCATGAATTTTGTGAACGCTTAGACCAATGGCAGATCCATGGAGCCCAGCCTAAAAAAAAAAAAATTTAAATTACTATGGGTAAATTTAGCCTAGCCAAAAAAATTATTATTAATATTAGAACACTCAAACAAACCCAAATCTATTAAGCCACAGTACTAAAATAAAGGCCTAATCCAAATAGGTCCTAATACATGAACTAGTACTATGTCCTAGCCCTAAGAATTGCAATTCACAAACGACTCAGTCCTCTGTCTTCAATTATCGACGAATTCGAGTCTTTAAAGACTCGAGCATAACTTATATAGATATTTTGTAATTTTTGAATTTAAATATTTATCTAGATTATGTTATATAAAAAAAAAATACTTAAGAAATTATGTTATTAAATTTATGTTTAATTGCAGCATATCCCTATTGTCAATTTTTGGATTTGTCTTTGGCTTAGACTCGAATACCGAAATTGATTGTGATGATGAAACCATTTGTGTTTTTTTTTTTTTTTAAAATTTTTTTTTTTATAATGAAAATAAGAATTCAAATAATAAAAAATAAATTGAATATGCAAATAAGTGGACTTGATGATTCAAAGAGGAGAAAATGAGTGATTTATATAGTTGTTGAAAATATATTAGAAAATGACAAAACAAATAATTGAAGAAAATAAATTTTTAAAAATTTTACAAAAAATAATAAAAAAATAAAAGTGGTCAGCTTAGCGAGCACCATATCGATTGGCTGGACTAACGAGACTGGATTGACCACTTTAAGTGACTAGCCACATCAGCTACGTTCAACTCTATGGCTTGTCATGACTCGTGATTAACAGAAAAACAAAAAAAAAAAAAAAATTGACCATTCGGGTGAAAAGGCACCACACAGGAGGGCCCATCTCCGTTATAATCCTCTAGTACATTCTTTGAATTATAAATCTTCATATTTTTTCATATGTCATCATACTTCATTATACTTAGTATTTAATGACGTCAGCAGCACCATCACAACCCTTGTTATTGAGGATCGATACACGATTAATTAATTAGAAACTAGAGAAATATTTTGGACGAAAAATGGGAAGAGCATTGGCCAGTCCAAGAAAACCCTCTGTAAAAGTTTTTTTTTTTTTTTTTGACTATTCTGTTTAAAGTAAAATTATGAAAGCAAATATTCCCAGTTACTATTTACTAACAAGATTTTTGTCCTTGTTTTAAAAAACAATTGAATTTCTGTTTAAACTTTAATACTAATTTCTCAATACTCACTTTAATACTATTACTCAAAAGAATGAATAATAGTCCCTTTTCTTAATCCTTAATTTTCAAAAAACATAAGAGAAGGCTTCTCTCTTTCTCCTTTTTTCCCTTCTCCCTTCAGAAGCGCAAAAAAGGACAAAATTTGTTTGTTCTCAGTGAATACTATTATCTACTACTTCTTCTTCTTCCTTATTTTTTTTGGTTTTATTTTTTATTTTTATTATCGTTTGATACAACAATTTCCCTTCACACACACAATATATATACTTTTCTATTTTCATTTCTTTCATTCCTTAAATCCCTTTCCAAACAACAAATGCTAAGTTTGAATTTTCAATAACATAAGAGTAAATGCATGTTGAATCACGAAAATCTTTAATTAAAGACATATTATTATGAAGTGATGGGAAAAACTTTGAACGAAAACATACAAAAGCAACCACGAAGTAAAGATGGTGATGAATCAAATTAGATACACATTAATTTGATTTGAGATGTCCAACATTTCACTTATAAAATTTAGTTACAAATTTTTTATTGCCCTAATTGTAAAAATAATTATAATAAATTAAATTAGATGCACATTAATTTTGAGATGTCTAACACTTCACCTATAAAATTTAATCACAAATTTTCTATGTTATCCGCCCAAATTGTAATAATAATTATTTATAGGATTAAAATCAAATTGGATTTGAGTTGGTCCTTGTGAAAAATATTAGAGCGATGCTAAATTAGTGTGAACTTTAAATAAGAAAAACAAAAGGTGAGAAAGTCCAAATTCCAAATTAAAATCAAACTATTTAACCCATACAACAAAAGGACATGCACAGGAAAAAATAAAAATAAAAAAAGTAAAAATCCAATGGGATAAAATAAAATATAAAAAAAAAATCTATTTTCCCTTCTCATACGTGTCGCCTTTATAGTTTGGTGTTACAAAATCTGTGGAACTGCCGGTCGTCACCAGAGAGGGAGAGGGAAAGAGAGAGAGAGAGAGTAGAGAGAGAGAATGGTGGCACATTTGGGAGTGAATTCTCTCGGCTCTTGCTTTCCTTCTTTGCCTCGTCATCGTCAACCCTCTTTCACCAAACACAAACCATTTGCAGGTAAGTACGAACAAACCATAGTTTATGTAGTGTATTTCTGGCAGAATTTCAAATATTATGTATAAAATTTACTAATTTCAGCTGTTGTTAGGTACCCATTTAAGGGTTTAAGAGATTATCCACCATCATTTGGTTTCTTATGGGCTTCCCTTAGTGTCTATCAGTGCTATTAGGACTATTATTTACTTCTTTGGTTGTTTTGATTGATTGATTGATTTGAGCTGTAATTGCTGAATTTAAAGTGAACCCATCACTAATCTGGTTTTTCTTATGAGTATTTCTATTTCTATGCGTAATTCATATACGTAACTGTTTGTGATTTTTAATGGGTTTTAAGAGACTAAACAACATTGATATGATATGTTTTGGTATTAGCATTTTTACAATTCCGAAGTGTATTTTTTGGCTGAATTTCTAATATTGTGTTAGAAATTTACTAATTTTAGCTTTTTTAGGGACCTATTTAAGGGTTTAAGAGATTATCCACCATTATTTGGTTTCTTGGGGCTTCCTTAGTGTCTATTAGTGCTATTAGAACTATTATAAACTTCTTTGGTTGTCTTGATTGATCGATTTGAACTGTAATTGCTGAATTTAAAGCGAACCTATCACTAATCTGGCTTTTCTAATGAGTATTTTTGTTTCTTTGCATAATTAATAATTTAATATACTTAACTGTTTGTGCTTTTCAATGGGTTTTAAGAGACTAACCAATATTGATATGATGTTTTGTTATTAGCATTTTTGCAGCCTTTTTTTTTTTTTTTTTTTGAATTTGAATTAAATGGTATTTTTGCAGTCTATTGTTACTGTGAAGTCAGTCCTGTGTATTCTCCTTCCCCTCTCTAATAGTTGAACTGAAACGGAACCATTCATGTTTTTTTTTTTTTTAAAGAAACTACCCCTTATAACAGTACATCAGCAGCCTAATTTAGTATAAGATGTATTTTTCAGGCTATTGGTTTCTTTGAAAGGGACTATATCTTTGGAATTTGTTGATATTTACATTAGTTTTGGTCATCTTTTTTTTACCAATAGTTTTGGTCATCTTTTTCTTACCAATAGTTTTGGTCATTTGACAGTAGCAGCAATGAGCGATGATCCAATCCGTGAATGGATTTTATCAGAAGGAAAGGCATCACAAATTACGAGGATCAGTCCTGTTGGTGGTGGTTGCATCAATAATGCCAGTCGTTATGACACCGATGCCGGTTCTTTCTTTGTTAAACAAAACAGGTTGGGGGCAATTGATGTTCAGTTAATTGGCTGTACAAACAATAATTTTTTTTTTTTCACTAAATTAGTTTTACTCTGTTTGGATTTGCCGTTGCATAATTGTATATGCTATTAAATCATAGTACTAAAGAAATCTCAACAATACCATTTGGTGGATCCTTCTTGTTTCAAGAGAATCTTGATGTAATAAGCATATCAATTGATTACATTGAATATAAAATGACAATTACATCAAATATAAAAGGGTAATGATGTATATAAAGGTTTGTAAAAGTTCTATTTTGAAGATACTGTATGAACTGTTTCCTATATAACCATTCTTCAACTTTTCTATCTTTATTTTTATTTTTATTTTTTCATCTTGGGTGCTTAAGAGGGTGGTGGGACTGCTACCCAACTTAATTCTGTTTGAACACTGCTCAGGGGGATTGGACAATCAATGTTTCAAGGAGAGGCTTTGGGTTTAAGTGCTATGTATGAAACCAAAGCAATCCGTGTGCCTAGACCATTTAAGGTAAGGAACTTGTAATTTCCTTGCTTTTCTCCTTTTTTCTTCTTTTGTTTTTTTTTTTTTGTTTTTTTGTTTTTTTGTTTTTGTTTTTTTTTTTTTTTTTGTTTTACTTTTTATTATTTATTTATTCATTGTAATCCCATAGCAGCTTGCCAGTCATCAAATTTGGTCTTATCGTTAATATAAGTCCTTTATATTGCAGTAAAACCTTAGAGACACTTTTCAATCAATTGTAGGTCGGAGCCCTACCAACAGGTGGTTCATACATCATTATGGAATTTATTGAATTTGGTTCATTCAGAGGTGATCAGGTGAAGGAGTGAAACTTGTATGCAACTTGGTGGTTATAGTAACAGTTTTCCATTCACTATTTGACCATTCATCGGTCCTTAGTCTGTTTTAGGGAGGCAGCTCGCTGAAATGCATAAAGCAGGGAAATCCGAAAAAGGTTTTGGATTTGATGTTGATAATACCATTGGCAGGTACATGTCTTATTGGATAATTATCACTATTATCATCTGTGCAACAACTGTCTTGAATAACTTTTGGATCTCTTCATTTTAACGGTTGAACTTTGATATCCATGTTCTAAGTTATTGAGTTTATTGGGAGGCATTTAAGATATCAGCCAGACTTGAATACTTGTTAAAGTTTGATAAATTTATGTGTTGGTGTACTTATCAAAAAAATAATAATTTATGTGTTGGTGTAGTACTCCACAGATAAACACTTGGACATCAGATTGGATTGAGTTTTTTGCCGAGCATAGATTGGTTTACCAACTGAAGTTGGCACGAGAACAATATGGCGATTCAACCATTTATGAAAAAGGTTCTCAATCAACTTAGTTCAGTAGTATCTCTGTATAATGAGTTTGATCTCATACCATAGTTGTGCTAAAATTAATAATGATGTTGATACTAACTAAATTAATTACGTTACGTTAGTTGCATAAGAAAAGTAGATTTTCACTATTGATTTCTGTTTTGTGCTTAACAAAGTTGTGACTTTTATAAGCTCGTATCAATAATCAGGTACATGATCCCTTGCTTGATTGCTAAAGCCAATTGACTCTCTTCTTTGGCTTAGCATATGGACTGTCACATTAATGCAAGAGTGCAAGAGTTTGCCAATCCCAAATGAAGCTTTCAAATTTCCTTATCTTTTCATTTTTCTTTTAAGGAATCAAAACTGACATAAGATGTAGTCTTCGATAGTCTAGCACATCAAGAAACTAGAAATCTAGGTGGTTGGAAAGTAAATTTAAAAAATCCATCTGTGGTAATGTTAAATCATCTTATATCTATTTTTTGACAAATTGTAATCCCTTATATCTATTTTTTGAAAATTTGCTCGCTGTCAATATAACTCGCTTGGATTTCCTTTCTTAGAATTATTGAAGAAAAAAATGATGCATTGTGTTTGATATTATCTGCTTTGTCATATTTAACAGGACAAAGACTGGCGAAGAATATGGCTCCTCTCTTTGAAAATGTTGTAATAGAGCCATGCTTGTTACATGGAGACTTATGGAGTGGGAATGTCAGCTCTGACAAGAATGGCGAGCCTGTTATACTTGACCCAGCATGTTACTGTAAGTCTGTTGGTTAATTGATATGTTGACAGCTTCCAATGACCATTTTTTAGTTTGAATTAGATGATGCAAAGTGCAAGCATACATAGATTAGTTAATTCCTGTAGATTATTTAATTTTCTCAATGGTAGACAGATTCTACCCTATTTGCGTGACTTGTGTTCATATAAGTTTTCTTGTAACTTGATTACACTCTTGACACTCCTGCCAAAAAAATGTGACCACGCAACGTACTAATACCTGCATTGTATGTCATAGGACAATGGAAAAAGCATGCAGGTGGAGTTAGACACTTAGACCAGTTTTTCAGGAAAAGAAAAGGGATGAAAAATAACGACTTATTTTGATGATTGGAATGACGGGGCAGAATTGTTGTGGACCATGTATTTTTGAAAACTTGATAATAATACTAAACAGGAAGTTCAATAAATATTAAGTTTGATTAAGTTCAACCCAATAAAGTTGTCCCAAGTCCCAACTATTTGGGGTCGCTTACAGAATCTTGTTTTGCTATTCTAAGACTCAAATAAAGAAAAGCTGAAATATTTGCTTTATGAACTTTATTGAGGTTGCAATTTTAAGCACCAACTGCATTGATAACTGCAAATCCTTGCATTTTATGTAGATGGACATAATGAGGCAGAATTTGGAATGTCGTGGTGTGCTGGATTTAGAGGAACTTTCTACAATGCCTATTTTGAGGTATCCTTGTTATCACAATTCTTTTTAAGTAGATCTAACAGTTAAGCTAGAAGATCATGTGAACACATTTTGCTTGTTTATGTTTGTTTTTAGCATTTCTTTTGTGTACTTGACCATTTAAATGGATGTTATAAACAAGTTTAAAAGATTAGGGCATGTGAATATGTTTTAAAACAAAAGAATGTATGATGCCACAAACAGCCTTGCCCATCAGTTGAGTATTGGAAGACTGTTTTATACTAGGTTTTGCAAGACACGGTGGAGAGTTTTTGTATTACAAATCTTTGGTTGAATAATTTGGAAGATAATGATGATCCTAACTGGTTGCTCTTCATCATGATATACAAAGCCATCGTTTCTTTGGTCTAAACTATTTTATGAGCTTAAACAGCAATCTTTTTAAAATCTTATATTGTCTATTTGTTGTTTTAATTGTTGGGATTATATGCCCTAATAGCAATTATATATATATATATTTAATATTTTCATGAATATAGTGATATTAATTCATTAGTTAAAAACATATTTCTTACACTGGTTATTGATCTGTATGCGTTTCCAGAAGTTATAATATTAGGTGGCTTGGGTACATGAAGGGGTTCATTTATGGAGGGACCTTAGCCACTGGAACTATACTTGATACAAGTTGAATCAGCTTGAAATCAATTCTGATTGAGCTAGTTAGTGGCATTCAACTGAAACCAACCAGAGACTCCAAACGACCGGAGGCTAAGATCAAACGCTGGCCCTTTCTTTATAAACTTATAGAAACCTAAATTCTAATTGGTTGTCTTCGATATTATGGTACAAACTATGTTTACATTTATAGCTTACATTTGAAAAAAAATAATGGTGAACCTAATCTCCACTGATATGCATTTTATCAACCAAGAACAAACATGAAGACTGAATCAAACTGACTAAAGGTCCATTTCGATCACCACTTAGACTATCCTTTGGAACCCGAACATCAACTTACATTTTTAGGAGAAATTTTGTCTTGGTTGTTAAATTGCCTTTATTTCTCAAGCTTTGAGGTTCTTTTCTTTCTTCTCTCTCTACTAGTCTCGAAACCTTGACTTAGGGATTGAAATGGTGCATTTGGCTTCTTTGGTTTCGTTTCTTTATTGCCGTTTTCAGGTGATGCCCAAACAACCAGGTTTTGAGCAGAGGAGAGATCTTTATATGCTGTATCATTACTTGAATCACTACAATCTATTTGGTTCCGGTTACCGGTCATCTGCCATGTCCATAATTGATGATTATCTTCGGATGTTAAAAGCTTAGTCACCCAAGAGTTTGTACATTTCTTGTAGATGTTCACTTTAGATGCTCAAGTGTGTATGTATATGTTCTTTTTGCTGAATTTCTGTGAATTTTTGTGATTATTGATCTAAATAATGCCAAATTTTCATTATAGGGTTATATGGGCTCTCATTTCTGTTCCTGAAGCAACATTTGTTATTCAAAAATTTCTTAGAACTTGATAAACCAAAAGGATTTAATACTCTCACAGGTTTTCTTTCCGAAGTGGCTGATCTTCTGTTGAAATGTCATGCTATTAAATCTCATCTTCTACGATTAATTATTATTCAGAAATTTACATTTAATGTCATGGTTAACAGGAATTAATGGAAATTTGGTTACATAAAGTGACCTATTAAAGTATAACATAATTTACATATAACTTTTTCATTGGGACCATTGATCCAAAAGGTAATATATGGGAAAATTAGATGTTGGTGACTAAACGTAAACAAAATTGTTAAAAAGTTATTAAAGTCAAGCAAAAATGGATAGTGACCAATTTTAAAACTTAATTACTAATAAGTGACCGTTTGAGGGCAATTTGGTCAAAAAAGAATACTTACTTGTTTATAAAATACTTTAAAAATAAATTTTAGATGACAAAATTGTTGATTTATTCTCCTTTATCTTTCTTGTTTTATTTTTTCCTATTTAGTTTACAACTTACCATTTAAAAAATTAAAAATTCTTTAATAACCTTATATTTTAAATTTAGAATTTCTTTATTTATTAACCTCTTTTTTCACGGCTCTTCACCATGATCGAAAAACATGCACAAAACTAAGAATATTATATCCATAATTATAATTTTTATAAATTTACATACTTTCAAGTTTGATCGAATAATATATATACACACACACACACACATCTTGTTTGCACTTCCCTCTTCGTCTTCATTTTATCCTTTGATTGTCGGACAACAAAAGTATTTAATGTTGGGAATAAATTTGTTCAATTAATATATATATATATATATATATATATATATATATATATATCCGGTAAAATAAGGATATTTAGGTAATAACTCATCAAATAATCACTTGTTAGCAATTAAGTTTCAAAATTGATAACTATTTATCTTTTCTCAACTTTAAGGTCATTTAAAAGCAATTTTGTTTCTATTTGATCACCAAATTCTAATTTTCCAAGGTATATTTGTCTACTTTGTCTAGTGCTCACAAAATTTGCTTTTGTCAACAAAATTAAATTATAATTATCCTTTCACTTTAATGGTTTGTCATTCTTAACGGGATTCAAATTCTCTCATACGAAATAGTAATCCTATCCCTTTCGTTAGTGTTGTATTTTACAAAAATGTTATGATGTTCAGTTTCTTATTTTATTATTATTATTATTATTTTTTTTTGTAAGAATTTTAGTCAATCTTAACTTTGTACAACATGGAATGTGAGTGTAATTCATCCAAATATTAATGCAGTGGTTTCTGCAGTAATATTTTTCAATATATTTATTTTTTATTTTAATACAATTTTAACAGATGTAACAAATATATTAAAACACGATTTAAGTTTCTTAAAATTAAAACCTTTGTCGAAAATTTGAGCAAAGTAGCAAACAAATATGTTGAAAGGACGGTAAAAATTTATTAGGAATTGGTTGAAAATTAATTGAAGTGTGTTAAAAAAAATTTACAGCGCATACAAATTACCGCAAAGGATCTGGACGACAGGTACGGACATGTAACATGTTTTAGGCCCTGTTTGGCGGAACTTTCACTTTCTAAAATTCCTTCCACTCAATCGGTTTGAAGAATGCATTTTGATAAAAGGAATTTAAAACAAAAAAAGTTGTTTGGTGGATAAATTTTTTGAAGTTCTTTTAATTATTAACATAATTTAACTTGACAATTATATCATTAATAAACCATGAATAATACCATCAATAATAGTAAAGAGTTGAATTAGAATGTACAAAGAAGGAAAGAAAAAAAAAAAATCATAATTAAAGTGATGGAGTAAAATTGCTTATGATACAACAACGAATAATTGGCATAGTGAAGATCATGATATACAAATTTAACCCAATCTACATGGTAAATTTTTTTTTTTCCTTGACTACATGATAGAAGTTGAAAGAAATGGAAAAAAGAAAAGGAAAGAAAAACAAACAAAAGAGAGAGATGTCAGCAAAAATATTCCATTTTTAGTCTTATTTATATTTATAAATCACTTTAACAGCGGAATGGGTAGCCTTCAAAAAAGAAAAAAAAAATTATACACACACACATATATATATGTGTGTGTGTGTATATATATATATATATATATATTTTTTTTTTTTGAGAGGAAAAAAAATTATTAAGAATTCTACATAGAATTGAAGTTTGGACAAGAGTTTATAAATGTTGGAACTCTTCAAACTATGAAGTCAAATAAGGGGCAATATTATTTTTTCCTGCAACTGCTTAATCTTTTTGTTCTCCTTTGTTGAATGTTTTTCAATAATAGTTTTTTCAATGAAGTTTAGTAAAATTTTGCTCAGCATTATTTTTTAAAATTTTTGGATAGAGAACGAAGGAAGAAAATGATGAAAAAATAGAAAGATAAAAGTTTGTAATAAAATTCAGCAATAAAAAATAGGTTAAATAATGGACAATATTGAAATTTTATAATTATTACCTAGAAGAAGTGTGTAGTTTGTGGGGAGTCGATTAAGAAGTATGTTTTATTAGCTTTGGTCAATCGGGCTTCTAAACTACTGACATTTTTTAAAAGTCCATTTTAAAAATTTTACCAAACACTTTTTATTATTGGGAAATGACTTTTAATACTTAGAAGCCCGTTTTGAGGCTACAGGCCCAGCCAAACAGGTTTGTATTTTTACTAAAAAGGGCTTCGATCTCAGATGATTTTACTTATGGAAGGCTTGAAAGCACGGTTTGAGAGACTGTTCCGAAACAACCATAGGTTGTGATTGTGAAATGTAGACCCACCTGAAATGCAAAGAGGAGGAAGGGGATATAACATATAGAAAGAGAACATATACTTTTAGAGAGAGAGAGAATGGACATGGTGACAGAATACCCAGCATTAACAGACCTGGCTCTAACTCTAGAGCAAGCAACCCTAATGGCGAAACAACTCCCAAACACCACAGACCCATCTCAACTCCTTCAAATCTACTCCACTCTTCACTCCGCCCACCACCACCTGTCTTCCTTCCTCTCCCAAACACCCCAATTCCATCCCCCACCACCCCCACCACCACCTCCTCCTCCTCTCGCCGCCGAGAACTCCGTCTCATCTGCCGTCGGCAACGGCAATTACATGGATGACAACGACAACGACAACGAGCCGATGCAACTCGGCGACCGCGATGACGAGGAGGCGGAGGCGGAGCAGAATTCGAAGACCACGATTGAGAGGGTGGAGGAACGGATGAGAGATTGCTTCATTCAGAACAAGCGCCCCAAGCGGCCGCTGTCGCCGTCGGCGGCGGCGGCGGAGCAGCGGCGGTGGTATGATCATGAGCTGGTGAGCGGTTCAGGCGGGTTTGATCCTCATGGGACCAGGTTGAGGTCTCTCGATCTTGTCTATCAGTTTCATGGTTGAGTTTGAGTTTCAGAAATGGCATTGTTGTAGTTACAGGTCAGTGACAGGGCATTAATGAATCATAATCTATATATTTAGCTCTTTTGGCAATTCAATTTGTCTGATAATAATTTAGATTCCTTTATTGTATTTTATTTTATTTGCGTGTATGTGTTTGTTTCAGTATATGCTACATATATATTAAGTTTGTGAATTTAGTATAGTGGAAGCTAGGATGAGATAATTTATTGGTCATTTTGGGTGCTTTTGATTTTGTATTATTTAGTGAAAGAACAGCAAATACATACACAAACATATATAAAGTGCATGTTGAAGCTAGAGAAGTTTACTGAGTGGGTGTTTGGAACTGCTTCTCTATTACTGAAAAACACTTCTATTTTAAAAAATTGCGGTGCAAAGTGTTTGGTGAAAAAAAAAAGCTTTTAAACATAGTAGAGGTTAGACCTAAAAAGTGCATTTAATTAAAGTTAAGAATTGTAGCTTTTAGAACTATGTTACGGGTAGAGGTACGTGTTTTTAGGTAACTAATTTTGTTATAGACAATTTAATCCCTCTATATTTTTTATTAATACAATTTTATCCCTTTTAGGCTTCTACAAACAAATAGCAAATAACGCGTGGACTCTGTAACAAACAAAGATCCTTGTTTATTTTGGACTCTGTAATAAACAAAATATGTGATATTTAAAAAATATGTAAACAAAATATGTGATCCTAGTTTATTTTGGACTCTGTAATAAACAAATAGCAAATATCATATGTTTAATGTAAGGGTAATATAGTAAAATTAGTAATAAAAGTACTTTAAGCAATATTATTACCAAACAGTTTTAAAAGTACTTCAAGTATAAAAAGTGCTTTATACAATGTGTCACTAAACGCTTAAATGCGTTTTACTGACAGTACTTTTATAACGGCTCTACTATTAAAAGCGCTTTTAACATTCTAAAAGCAATCCCAAACTGGCTCAGAAGAGTCATCAAGAGGAAGTAATATGTCCAAATCCAAACCCTACCTTTTTTCATGAGATATGATTCATCCAAATCAGTAGCTGTGTATAGATATTTCAAGTCCAAATTGTATCTAACTTAATTACAACTATCAAAACCTAATTCTATGTAGAGCTTAAAATTTTGGAAGCTAGTTCGATAAATGTTGATAATGACAAGGAAAGAAAAAGAAGAAGATGAAGTAACACCTGAACAAAATGGAGTTGGAGTAAAGCCCCCGTTGAGTGGAAGATTAGTGAGAATGGTTGAAAAGTGTGTCAGCAAAATCGCCATCCCAAAACCATTGAGGGCTTGTGTTTTCTGTTGCATTCAGCAGAACATCTAAATCTCGAGGGCTTGTGTTTTCTGTAGCATTCAGCAGATCATCTAAATCTCCTTCGTCCTCAAAACTGTCCATCAACTCATGTTGTAGTTGCAGTAGTGGCGGCAGAGCATGTTGTTCCTGGGAAATGCAATTGAGGGATGTTGAAGGGTGGTGGACTGAACTTTCATTCACAAAACTTCGTTCTGCAGATAGAACATTTTCTATTCCGATCATCTCATCATTGCCTAAACCACCCATTTGTCCAAACTTAACCGACTTCCCATTATTCGTGAATCTGTATCCAACATAAGCACTACTGGTATTTGAACTTGTGCCCAGATGTTTTGTGCCGTTGGATGACATGCTGTTCTCAATGTTGAAAAGAATGTTCTTGGTGTGTTCTTCATATAGCCTGAACTTATTGTTGAGTGGTATATTGGGGAGATATATTGATTCCACTGGAGTTGAGCCTCTTTGACAATTGGGTTGTATAGATGCAAACTCCACGTAATCGGTATTGTTCTGTGGCATTGCTTGAACAGAAGACACATTGTGTGTATAAGGGTAGTGTAGGTTCCCCTGGTTGCTCAGTGTAAGTGATTGTTGGTACCCCAAATTTGACATAGGGTTTGATGCTTCGGGGTTAGTAAAGGAAAAATTATTAGTTGGAGGCATGGAAATGGTGAAATTGGATAGCTGTTGGAGAGGTGTCAAGTTGGTTTGCTGCATTGGATAGGGAGAAATTCCTTGTGAAGAGTATAAATTCCGTAGAGGATAGCTTGATGGAAAGCATGTTCCTTCGACGTCAGTTGAAAAGTTTATTCCATAATTTGAACCGGTGGACTGCTTTGCTTCTTGACATCGCTTCAAGCACATTCGGTACTTCTGCAATATGTATGCATGTTTCATCAATAAAGAGATTCACAATGATCATGAAAAACATCCTTTACAAGTTTACAGAGGAAAAAGAACATATCAGAATTCTCTCTTTCTTGGAAATGAAAGGGATGCCAACCCTTGGGGCAAGACTAATTCCCTGCGACACACGTTCCTCTTTAAGGTTGCTTGCCCGGCATGCATGGAAAACCTCATGGGATACCCAAGAAGAAAAGTTGAACTAACCATGTCGATCGCTCATTTTACCTCTTGAGGTTAGCGTGTTACATTTTTTTATTTTTTAAATAAGACATTACCATGCTTTGTTAAACATGTCGTAATTGGCGTTGCTTTGATTGCAAAATTTTGGGCATTGAATGCCGATATCACATATCATCTTTGTTTAGTAAATAAGGATTCTGATATTATCTTTCTGATTTTCTATAATTAATGACCCTCATGCATCAAAACTCAAAATTAACTGGCATGGTATTGTCTTTTGCTTTAAGAAAAAGTTCTTTTGTCAAAGAATTCTATACTGCTCAAATATATATGTGGAAACGACAATTGGAGAACATCTGAAATCTAAGGAAGAACAAACCTGTAAATGACTAGCAACGTTTTCTCTAGTCAATCCAGGGACATCCATAACTTCAACTATTTTCTTCGGAAAAGCCCCTGAATGCAGAAAGATAAAAAGTTAGTTACAATGAAAGAGAGATTAAACATAACATTGAAGATGAAAATAATAAGAAAATGAGAAACACATAATATATCTTACTTTCATGGCCTAATTGTTGAATGGCTTCCAAAAATTTATTATGCATCTTAGCAGTCCAAACAACCCTTTGCTTCTTTTCACATGGATAGTCATTTGGACTATCTTCACTTTTTTCAGCTGTCCTTTTGAGTTCTCTTCTCTTATGCTTTTCATATCCTCCAAATGCTTCACCAACAGATGATTCATTTCTGGTACCCACCTGATCAATTGCATTCTCGGTTGCTGAGGCCATTTGAGCACTGGCTGCAATTTCAGGTTCCACCAATTTACCCTTCTCTCTCGCATATGCAAAATGTCTGAGGTTGTTAACGTTGTTCATGCTCAAAGATTTCAGAAAATATAGCGTAATACCACTTTCCAAACCTAGTGGCACAGTTTTCTTGTTTTCATCCGATGATATTGCTGCATTAGTCAACGAAAATTAGTAAAAATATATATATTTTTGATAAATAAAAATTAGTAAAAATATTCAAGATGAAGAATAAAAATTGACTAGAATTTTATCTGTTTGATTGCTGAGAATGTGGATGAGAAGTGTAAAACGAGGAGGATTTAATGCGTTCTTTGAAAACAATTTGTATCAAATAATTAAGGAAAAAATGGGATAAAAACAAGTGATCAAAAAGGATCATACTTACAAATGATGGGAAGTTTGAATTCTTTCTCTATGTGCTGAATGATCTCAAATCTGTTTGTATCTGACCTTTGAACATTTGTTAGAACAAATTCTAGCCTGTCTTTGCTCTTCCATATGGTGTTTAATGCGTTGGCGATCTGATCAAAATGCAAAACTGAGAGAAAGATGTTTAGAATGATGAAAAAACATAAATTCATGATATCTCATAGTATCAAATACTTTTTACTACTCCAAAAGAAGTAGAGGCTTGAATTCAACTTAACTTATAGAATTGAGTAGACAATACCCTATAAGGAACAGATATATGTGACTGAAATATAAAAGTAAAGCATTTGCAGATTATAAATCAAACACAAGCTCTTGTATAAGTTCTATATAAACAGTATCCTAAAAGGAATAAAATTTGGTTTAAAGTGTGATTTCTGTTTAATACCTTTATGAGTGCAGCATGGAAGCATCTCGGCCACAATCTTAAAACACGCAGGATCATTATCGATGACCAGTATACAGATTTCTTTAGTTCCCATAGATTGACTTGATTCAAGTAGTAACTTTTGATGTCTATGCTTGATAAAGGTATGAAGTATGTCGAGAAGATGTTTTTAATTTGGAGGGGAAACAAAAGGCATACCTTGTAAAGAACACAAGGCATAGGAGAGAGGAAGTGTCATAAATGATTTACCTCAAGAATTTTTGTACTCTCCCCTCTTCCTGCTCAAAATTTATCGTATTTTTGTCATGCATAATTAGGTGGGACCCTTGTGAACGGTTGACCTAGGAGATCATTGCCTAGTGCGGTGGCAAGAACTCTGCATAGCTTTAGGGATGGCTTCAATTATTTCACTAGAAAAATTAACTTTTAATCTAATCTACATTTTTTTTTAGTTCTTAATTCAGTTATGTCTCACGTTATTTATATCGAGCTAGGAAGGAAATTTCATGGGAAAAAAGAAAAAAGAAAAAGGAAAGGTTTTAACTTTACCAAATGTTTAGAAAAAGAAAATCATAACCTAAGTGTGAGCTGGGGAAGAGATATCATGAGATAAGGATTAGCAAATTACGAACTTAAGTTGTAAAGAAAATTTCTAATATCCTTATTTTCGATAAGGTGTTGCAAGGTCTCCAACAAATTAATTTTGAGCCAAATTGACACCCTTGCCTACTACACTATGAAAAAGTATGTGGTCTATTATCAATTTGTTGTTCTCAACATAATGTAGTGAAGTTCAGTTCATGATATCTTTTCATGCAGGGCATGCCTCAAAATATTCATTATTAATTGTTTTTTTCCTGGTTCTCTAGTATAGCAAGTTCACAGATATGAATGTATTTATCACCGTTCATGACATTAGGTTTGCATTGATAACATTCAATTTACGCATGGTTTGTGTTGAATATTTTCTTGCATTACCGATTCCTAAAATTTGTTGGTTTTATTGAGTATATATATGTCCTGTTCTCTCGGCTTATGAGATTACCTCTGTTATATAGCTTTCTTTCTGGTCGATAACTACACATTCATAGAAACACATCTTCGAGGCAGAACATATTAGATTGAGATTGGTGATTATTAAGTATATTCTCTGTTCTCTCTTGGCTTATGAGATTACCTCTGTTATATAGAATGAGACTCGTGACTCTGACAACCGTCTTTTATACATTTTTTTCCGTTCCCGATAACGAGGAACCATTCCAACCTAGCTTAAGCTACTCTCGAGGTTTAGCCTTTCCATGTGTTCCTTGCTAATTAGTTTCATTTGCTTTGATTAGTTTAATTCTATATGATTCGTGTGTTGCAGTTTCTTCTAATACATGTCATGTCATATTCATTTAAATTTCTTAACATGTAACCTTTATCAAATGGTTTTGCTTAGTTTTTGTAGACCATGATGAGAAGTACTAGAGTTTTTTGGTCACACATTCTGCTAAATACACACTAATCCTTATAATTCTAAAAACAACAGTTCTAACAATACTCAGTTTGGCTTTTGAGGATTGAAAAGAAAGATCACACAAAGCACTACAAAAGCTTTTAAAACAAGCTTGGTGTGCACACCAAGCACTACGTGTAAATTTAACATTTATTTTTCAGGTCCTCCTTGTTAGGTCAGAATTGTTTTTTGTGAGATTTTGTGTTTGTATGAATGCCTACCTGTCTTTACTAAAAATGATGTAAAAGCAATAAAGTTTACACTTGGCTGCTTCCCATTCATGATGGTTTTCATTTCTTTAATGGTATATATAAACGTGTTTTAAAAATCGTAAACATTGAGAGTCTATAAAAATGAATAATATCGGCATAATGTGAAGGTAAGATATAGTATTAAAATCATAAATCCATGAGTGTCAAGACAGCGAAGACATCTTCGATTGCTTGACCCTCACTATTACTTCCCTATTATTTTGGTTTTATTAAATTAAATAACATATATAAATGTCCCTTATACGAATAGAATAAAGTATAATCATGTCATTTCATATTAAAACTGGTGTTGGAATGCATTTATGATAAATTCTCATGCATTTATCACCTCTTAATGATATGCATAAGCATATATATATATATTAAAATCAGAGTGAAGTGCATTAAAGTTAAATTCTAATGCATTTATCACCTCTTAATGATGGAAAATGTTGTAATTTAGGGCAAATTCCAATGCATTTTTCATTTTGTATCCATTTCCTTCATACCTCTTAATGATGGACCATCAAGGCATCAACCTTGAGGTTGAAAAAACTAGAGAGAGCATAATCATCATCTGTTTATATGCTTAGGTTTGTTAGTAATGTTTGTTGATATAGGGAGATGCCTAAAAATTTGAAATCTCTGAGAGGATGAGGACTTGTTTATGTGCATAATTGATCCTAATTAATGTTTTAGTCAGTGATTGTACATATTAAACCGAATAAATTTAATCAAAACTATGAACATAAACAAGTCCTCATTGTCTTAGTGATTTCAAAATTTAAGGAATCTCCCGGAGTCAACAAAATTATTCATCAAAGAAAAAAAAAATTGAAATGTAAAATTTTCAAAAACATTTTTTCATATTTCTCATTAAGAGGTGAGAATTTATCATAGATTCCCTCTAACTCCAATTTTAATATGAAATGACATTATTATTTTTTATTCAATTCAGGAAAATAAGTATAAGGGACACTTATGTATGTCATTTCATTATTATTCGTTTCACATCGTGCGCTTGTTTTATATACAGTTTTTAAAACAGTCCGCACAAAATTGAGTAGATGTGTAGGACAATGACACGAACACTCTGTATAACAACTTCAGGGATTAATCATTTTATTTTCAAATCCAAGCCTGTAAATTAAAGATTAATGACATTTATAAAATACTAATGAATGCATGTATTACCTACCTTGCACTTTCCTTTGTTGTCTACATGTGATAAATATGAAACAAATTAAAACCAAATGACAATTAATTAATTATAGTTAGTGTTGATTGGGATTTGTCCTCCGACATCCCTCAACCGACAACATCATCTCTTCTATATACATACATATATACACACATATATATATATATATATATATATCACTGCACTGTCTCAATTACCAGTACCTCTCTCTCTTAATTGTAAGAGTATTTTTCATTGCCTCAAAGATGTGTCTCTATAACTAGGTATAACTAGGTTAAGCTCACAAGCGAAGATAGAATAGGGCATACACTCGATAAAACTATACGTAAATTGAATGTCATCAAGGTAAATTAAATTTGGATTGATGACATTCAATTTACGCATGGGTTGGAGTGGATGGAGCCGACATGATAGCTTTGAGAACTAATTAAGTAATGAATTCAAACATCGGATTCCGATTAGTACTACCCACGTTCACGTCCCCAAATCTTTCAATCGCTTGGTGCTGGTAGGAGCGTTGGGGGACAAACTTCAAAATTTTGAAATCTTGAGTTGATTTTACAATTAAAGAATGAGCATGCACTCACGCCTGCACCAACATCCACACAAGCCTCCCCATGCAAACACCTTGTATATATGTTCATATATTCAATATGTACATATATACACACATACTGTGTATTATTAAGAGGTGATAAATGCACTACTCTTTAACTTTAATTTGAAATGACTTTAATTATTTTTCTTTCAGTTCGACCATTTATATATGTCATTTTGTTATTATTTTTACCCCCAAAAAAGAAAAAGTAGTGAGGGTCGAGCCAGATGGCTTCTTCCCACAAGCGATGTGGTCATGTGGTCCTGATCTGATCCGAATGGACTTATGGTTCTGATACTATATTTTAGGTTTCGCATCACGCTGTACAGATAAAGTCCTGGAACTTAGTTAATAATCTCTCTACTGTAATAGAGTTACATATTTTTCAACACCTTATATATGTTTTTCAACATATTACATTTGACTAAAAAATTGATACAAATATGTTGAAAATAAATGCAATAGTGTTAAAAATCACTACAATACCAAAATTTTCAGTAAATAATTTAAACAAGCGCAAATATGATTTTTTTTTTTTGCAATTAATCGGGTATGTTTGATTTGTTAATTTGAAAACAGTTCTAAAGAATTCTCTAACAAAACTGTTTTCAGAAAACTATAAAAGACAGTTTTATGAAAATAAGTCTTTTATAACTGAATTTCATAAAACAGTTCTCAGAAAGTGAATCAAATAGAATTTTTTATATTCTTTTAAAAAAATAAAAAATTATTTTCAGAATTACAAATTAAACAAGTCATTCGATGCTCACTTCTAACAATTTTCACAAGCGTGATAGTCAAGTTGATTGCAACATAATGGGGGTGCAAAAAGAGTGATTGTGCAGTGCAATGACCGAACACATTGCATAAGATTAGTCATTCATTTCCAAATCAAGGCCTACAAATTAAAGATTAATGATATTGGATCAAGTAGTACTACTACGTATTACCTTGGACTTTCCTTCGTTGTCTACATGTGATAAGTATGAAACAAAATTAAATCAAGTGATACTTAATTAATTATAGCACTTAATTATAGCTGGTGTTGATTGATTGGCACAGTCAGTCCAATTTGTCCTCCGACATGCTTCACCTAGCAGCATCTTCTATATATATATATATTATATATATTTCACTATGCACTGTCCTGGACACTTCTACGTTTCACTGTCATTTTCTCTCCATCCATTGTTTCTTCTAACCTCCGAACCTACCTCTCTCTTTCTCTCTCTCACACACAAATTCTCTCTCTAGATTGCCACAGCATCTTCTCCCTTTATATATCTCTCGCGTCACACTTCCTCACTCCACAGTCCACACTCAACCATCACTTTCTCTTTCTCTCTCTAAAATCTCTCCCTATCATGGATTCATTTTCCATAGACAAACGACCTCGATTTCTCAAAGACTTCCTCACAGACGAATCAAATTCATGCGATTCGACTGTACGGAGCCTTCTCCAACTTGATCTCAGGCCTAACAATACGACCAAATTACTCCGAACCCGATCAAGAACAGCTTCAATGGCGTTCTCTGCAATTCACAGAGCATCGGAGGTCGTGATTAACGCCGTTAAACACCTCCCGATCAGGTCCGTTAGGTCTCCGTCGCTTTTGCCGAGAAACATTTCCCGGAGACTCTCGAAACGCAAAAACGACTGCGTATTACGGGAGATCTCGGTTACTGTCAAGGTGAGGGACATATTGCGATTGAAATCGTTCCGGGACCTGATTGAAGAAAAATCTCCGCCGTTGGATTTTGATTGTTCTCCGCATCGGTGCACCACCACCACCACAACCACAACTAGGACGGAGTCCACCAGTACAAGTGCAAGTAGCAGCTGGTGTGATAGCGATTTCACCGCCGACGAGAATTTACCGTTTTGGTGCGGTAAATGTGACGACGAGGAGGAGGTTGAAATGGGTAAAAAATGTTTAACCGATTGTGGTGTCGGCGCAGATATTATGGAGGAGGCAACAGGAGAAACGGTGGACCCCATGGTGAGTAATCACTTTTAGAGTTGTCAAAATTTACTCAGTTATTCAAAATCATACAGATTCCTAATTCCATATGATTTTATTTGATTTTGTAGAAAGTACTTGCATCACTATTTCAATTTCAATTTAAACACTAGTGTAATTCACTCTCCTTGTATTAATAAATGTGAAATGTTTTAAAATTGACTCCAGTGTCACACCACCTGCTTAAGACACTTAACCAGTTGGATATTGGTTAATTGTAAAAGTACTCAATAAATATTTACTATCCATAATTATAAGAGATCCACGTGAGAATGTAATAATTAATTAATTTATAATATTTTTTTAGTAATAAAATAATTTAAGAGTTTGAGGTTAGACACATTTTATGTAGGCAATAACGGATATTATGATGTCAGTAATAAAATAATGTTAGGAGTTCGAGATCAAACACATTTTATGTAAGAGATCAGACACATTTTATGTAAGTAACGACTGATATCATCGTCATGATGCAATCCCCACTCATGTAAATCAAACACATTTCACGTAAATCAGTCAGATAAATCCTCCCACTAATGAATTCTATTATCTTTTTAATTAAACAAAGTTGAGCCTAAATTGGCTATTAGAGTCCATAAATTTTTGTGCTCCGATTTGAAGCAAGAGAAAAAAAAAAAAAAATTTGAAAATTTGAGCTTAGATTCATTCTTCTGGATAAATTTATCTCAAATTGTTATGAAACTGGATCATGAAATTAAGATTAGAGTGCAAATCTCGGGTATAAATACGACTCTACATTATAAATTAGAGCTTTTATGAACAACTCAATTTGTCTAGAATGGTAGTATCATTTTATGTTTGCTTGAGTTATACCTTAAATTTGACTGAAAATGGTACATATGAACAGGGAGAGTTTATTTGCGAGGAGGAAGAACAGCACAGCCCCGTATCGGTGCTTGATTTCCCATTCAGAGAAGATGAAGATGAAGAACAAGAAATTGGAGCTGAAGAAAAGGCAATGCAGCTACTAAATCAAGTACTCGAAACAAGAAGCTCAGTAGATAGCAAAGCCAATGTGGATACTCTGCTGTTTGATTTCTTTAGCCATGAACTGACCACCACAGGCAGAAATCAACAGCAAAATGAGTCTGATTGCGAGATGGTTAGAGTAGCCAAAGCTTGGATTAGTGGACAACAAAATGATGGGAAGTCACTAGCATGGAAAGTGGAGAGCAATAGAGAAGCATATAGTAGAGACATGCAGAGGATAGTTAGGTGGAACAAGTTTGAAGAGGAACAAGAAGAATTAGTCTTGGATGTGGAGATTGGGGTGTTGAGCTATTTGGTGGATGAGCTTTTGGCTGATCTTTCTATTCCTTAAAAAGGAGGATAGCGACCGGACTTCACTACCTTAGAGATGTTTGGCGTGACGTCCGATTAAGGATTGTGTCTACTCGGTTACCACTTGTAATGAGTCAGATACTTACCATCGGATTTAAAACTGGATTGTGTCTACTCGGTTACCCCTTGTAACAAGTCAGATACTTACCATCGGATTTAAAACTTTAAACTGTTAGGTGGAGTTGTGTGCCTATTCTGATCAGCTCAAGATGCACTCCATCCGAATTCATTGTCTGACAAGAACCTCTAACATCCAGGGACAAAGAAGTTCAATTTGCCCTATCCTTCAGAAATAAGCCCAACAATGTACATAAAGTCCATGTCTCATCTAAAGCCCAACAATGTATATGTTAAGTCAATGACTCATTCAATGAGTTCATGGGGGGAGCCAAATGTTAAAAATGCCACTTGTCCCGTAACTTTTTGTAAATAATGTGTCCAACAATGTACGAATTGAAATTTGCAATAAATTAAAATTTAGAAAAAAAAAAAATATTGAAAGGTTTCTTCAGTTGTTTGGAAGCAACTATTGTCCTTTTTGTGAAATTCAAAAGTTCTACACGTGCATACAAATTATGCTACTAAGAGACCACCTTTGTAATGCTTATTCAATTTAGAATAAGCAAGGTGGAGATTTCTTCCCTAGGTTTAGAGGGATAAATGGCTTCATTCTAATTTTCCTTAAAATCATCGATTTGGCTCCTGGTTCGGAAAATGGAGACAGAAGTGAAGACGAAATAAAAAAATTAACTTGAAAAGTTTTAAAAAAATAATAATAATTAATTATTAAATAAATCCACAAAATTGTTACGATTTCTACTCCATTTGGTACGAGAGATGAAAAAGTAGAGAAAGAAAATGTGAAATATATTCAGCAATGGTGATGTTTTCGTGATGTTTAATTAAAATTATCCATCTGGAATATTACCAAAAATCACTTTTACTTTCCTCAGTGATACTCTTTGAAATCTACCAAAGTGTTGAATGTGACACCAGCAATACAATGTCATATCTCAAGTTCTTTCATCTATGAAATAATATTAGTAATTGTATTTTTTTTCCCCCTTTTGGTAATTGTATATCATCACAAAAAACCCATAAAGAGCAACTCCAATGGGTTGCTATTTTCAAAATATAGTATGTGGGTTTAAAATGGGTTCTCCAATGACATGTCAAATGGGCTGTCAAAATATAACTTTGCCAAATGAGCTGCTAAATATAACAGAACATATAGCTATTGCCAAATCTGCTATTGCTCTCTTCCTTCTCTCTCGCATGCGCTACCAATTTGATGTTGTGCTTGTGTATATATATATATGTCAGGATTGTGTGTATATATATGTATATGTCTGTTGTGTGTATATACATATATGTATATATATATATGTTGTGCTGATATATATATATATATGTCTGTGTTTTAATTTATTTATTTTTAATAAGGTAAATAAGCTAAATAAAATACAAACACTCACAAAAAATAAAATGTTTATTGAAAATTGTAGTTAGGAATGATAATTAAAAAATAATGGTTGTTATGTCAAAAAATAGTATTTTGGATGAAATACACAATTGGAGCAAAATTGCTAGAATATAACATTTTGACACTGTAACTCCTCTCAAAATATAGATTTGACATATAAAAATATTTGCATTAGAGATGGTTTAACAAGGACAAAATTTTGGATGGCTGTATACAATCACATTTTGTTTTTTAGATAGTTTTTAGTCATTTTTATTATTAAAAATTGACTTGACTTTAATTATCATTTTCCAACTGGATGGAGTGCCAGATCTTGGGTACCCAATATATTTCTCCACAATGGGTAATGTTGATCGGACAACTTGTTAGTAGAGCTCAAAATTATTAAATAATTTTAAACTAATTAATTTTATAACTGTATATAGTAGGGGTATATTAATAAAAAATTATATAAATTATCATTTCTTTCCTCCAAACCAAACAAAAAAAACTAGCACTTCATTAATTATTTTTGCCGTCCCTTCCATTCAACCAAACAAAAAATGAAAGTAACACTTTTCCTTCCTCAGGATAACTCATCAATCCCTCCCCTTCTCCCTTTCATCCATTTTTCCATCTTTCCAACCAAACGAAGCATGAGAGTCCACAACAAAAATGAGCTAAACCCTAGAGAAATGCTTTCTGGGTTGACCCATTTGGTTGGTTAGTCTTTCACTCTCATTGTTCTGGCCAAAATTTCACTCATTAAAAATAAAACACCAAGTCCAAGTAGGGATAGCAATTAGGCAGTTTGGGGGTGAGAATTTCTTTCCCCATTCTCATTCCTGTTTAATTTTTAATAATTATCTCAAAATCTGTCAAGTTTTTCAAAATAGTTTCCATCTCCGTTTCTTTTTACATAATCAAATTTCCAAAATTACCCTCAAATGGAATAGGGCGGGGTGAGACCCGTCGAATTGACAATGTACATAACACATTTGATGGATGCTTATTTATTAAAAGAAAAATAACTATGCTCTTAAACAATTTGATTTAAGAAGACCAATGGGCACGTTGTTACCCTCTGAACTGACATTTTGTAGTCACCCAAGGAAAAATGGAACTCGAAGGTATTTATTTGACCATCTATGATAATAAAGTATAAGGAATTAGAAGAAGTTGTAACATTATTTAACCCACAATTTAATTCCATGTGGTCCGATTAATTAATTAATGGTAGTAGAGTACTTTCTTTTCTATGTCTTAATTAATCAGTATTTTAAATTGAAAATACCCTCTCACATCTTGTACTATATGAAGGGTAGGGTTTATACTTCCTATGTTTGTAATTAACACGTGTTGTTAAATAATTTATTTATTCAAACAATTGCCAAATTGTGTAACTTTGAGAAATAAATTAATCAATTTAGTAAGTTGCAAGTGGCATCGACACTTTCCACTCAACTTCTAAAAATAAATACAAAATCACATTAGCCAAATTGGCTTTTAATTCCAAAATTCAAAGTGTAATTGTTAATAGGGTGAAGTGCAAAAAATCTTTCTTAATTATGTTTGAATTTATAAATAATTTTTTTGAATTTTCACATTTTATTACAAAATGCTCCAATGTTTAGATTATATTTCATTAAATGATCATAATTCATTTCTTATTGAATTACACTTAATCTATTTTTCTTATTGAAATAAATCGTAAAAAAAAAAATCATATTAATTTGATGTCATCATATTAATTTGATGACATGCTTTTCATTAAATTAGCATAAAGCTACCTTTATTTTTGACAATTAATTGTTTAAGTAGAAAATTTTAAAATAATTTCATTAATTTTTTATGAATATATTATATGAAAAAGATTGTATTAAGTAATCTATTAATTATTCATCCGTAAGACACAGAAGACAAGGGTAAAAAAGTTTAAACTGGATATAATAAGTTTTATTATAAATAACAAATTAATTATTTTAAAAAATAATAGTTACAAATCTTTTTTTTTTTTTTTTTTCATTTTTATCATAAATTGATACTAATAATAAAATTAAGGTAAATAATATAATTAATATTTCGATAATAGAAAAGATAATAAAAATAATTTAATAAGAAATGAAATTTTTAATGAGAAATGTTAAAATATTATTTTGGGATGAGTTTGTCTTTAATTGCAACAAATCAATAATTCAAAGGAGTTATTTTCAAAAAGATAATAGTTTAAGGAAATTAGTTAGAATTTACCCTCTAATATGAGATCTTACCAATAGTGATTATAAAATCGAAGGAAAAAAAAGATTATCGAATGATTTCATCATCATTATCATAATTATCTTTATATTATAGAGATGAGAATTCTTTATTTTTTTTTTTGGTTTCTTTCCTATCATACATCATGTACTTTATAAAATTTAAAATTTTGAGGTCAATTTTAATTATTTCATTTCACGTGAGTTTTAGTTCATCTCTATTATCATTATTATTTTTTTAAAAAAAAATCATTGCAATTATTCAAAAATGTGCAAACAAACCCAAAAATTTATTAAATAATTTTGAATCATTGATATTTGAACTCATAGCACACATATCATGTGTACAATTCGTTTAAAAAACACTCCTTGTTGACCATTAGTGTAAGTTATCATTTTATTATTCTTCATAAAAATAACCGATTTAATTTTTTAATTGAGAGAGAGATAAAATAGGGTTTTGTCTGAAAAATTGTAAAGAGTCATGATCTATTAGGGTTAGTTTGGTTAGCGTGAATTAGTTAGAAAGGAAAAGAAATAGAAAATTTTTAAAATTTTTAGCCGTTTGTTGGCTCACTGCTTGATTTTCTGCAAAATGTTTTCCTCTATAAAGTATGAAAAAATTTTAATTTCGCGTGAAAGTTATATCATTATATATTAATTTCTTCTTATACCCTTGTGTAAAATGTTTCTTTTTGTTTCTTCGTACCCACGAAAAGAGAGTTTTCTTACACAAATTAATACTCTTGATTACAACTCTTCTGCTCTTGAAATAAAGTAAACTAATCTAATAACAAAGTCCTAATATAAAATGAAAACTTCCAAAAAAAAAAAAAAAAAACCTATATAAAGAGACGCATACATATCTAGACATATATATTTATTTATAAATCCAATTATATATATTATTTTATCACTATTATTATTATTATTATTAAATTCATAAGGATAATTTAATTGTATATGTTATTTTACTAATATTATTATTATTTTACTATCAAATTCATAAGGGTAATTGTGACATATAAAATCATTTTTCTTTCATTCTTTTGCTATCTAAACTAATTAAATAATATTTTTTCACAAATTTTTTTAAAAAAATTCTTGTTAACCAAATGCATAATAAAAAATTAATTTTCTTTTCTTTCACCCCCACATTCTTCTTTTTTTACTTTCCATCGCCAATTTCTAAGCTAATCAAACAGATCCTTAATTAATTTTAAAAATAATGAAAATGAGGTAAGTTTGCTTTTGGGAAGTGCAAAACGACAACTGTATAATGCAATTGCATGTGCAATAAAACTTTCATTCATGGTTAAAGACAAAAGAAGCAGTACGTTTGAAGCTTTTGACTAGCATTTATTTGGGCCTTTCAGCTCTGTACAATCCTAATTAGAAAAGTGGGCCCACAAAGAAGCATTAATTGCCACGTTTGCAAAATCCATGCACTAAAACCCAGCTGTACCGTAATCAATTCCACCTCAGTGTCTGAGTCCTTTGACTGCCACGTGGATCACAATGGTATACGTGTCACTGTAATGGGTCCCACTTTATACTTTTATTTTTAATCCTTTTAGGGAGTGATGAGGACCCAATAACCGGCCCCTTCGTCTCCTCAGCTTTTAAAGATACCTCACTGACTTTAAAGTTCGAATATTTTGATATTTATCACATGCAAAGTGAAAAAGTTTGAGCAAATTTGGAAATTTACAGACTGCATAACCAATATATATATATATATCTCGGGTTTTTGTGTGAAAGGTGAATTTGAAATTGGGTGGTAATATTCGAAATAGGAAAAAGTTTGTTTTAGATTGCATAAGCAAAGTTTTTCATCTGATGTTGATACGGGCTAATATTGGGCTAATAACAATATGGCATGTGTCTAAAGAAATTAAAAAGTTAAACCTAAATCATTCAATCTTTTCACGGGTCATTTAATGATGAAGAGAATTTTCTCTCACACGTGTGTGAGATCTGGTAGCAGGCTCTTCTTCTCTTTTAACTCACGATTCCTTCTCTCTAAAAATATACTTATGACGTTTCCATTGCTTTATTAAATTGAAATGACATAATAAACCTTAATCCAACTTTCTTAAACTACATCTCTCTTTCCTCTTTTCTTTTTTCCTAAAAAATAGTTATTTCCTTTTCTTCCTCTAACGTTTCCTTACTTTCCTTCCTTTCACGGCTCCTTGCATTTTCTCTTTTCCACCAAACCTAAAGTTGTTTTTCTTTATTCCAAAAACGTCCACCAAGACAAAATATACACAGTATAAACAATAAATGTCTATGCATTGAATCCAAATGAAAGATATGGACAAGTCATTGATCAAATCAATTTATTTTGTCAATCCAAACAAATCAATTATTATTATTTTTTTTAGTTCCAATTTGATAAAACCCTTGATTGGATTCATACTTGTCTCCATACGATTATGACAATTGAAAAAATATTAACAAATGATCCGAAATTACTGAAAAAAAAAAAGAAAAAAAAAAAAAGAGAAGGTTGCAGAGGTTTGCTACAAGGATAGAACAGGAGAGTAGGAGGGAGAGAAGTGAGATAAAGATAGAAACAAATGAGTAAAAACCCTTTAAAGCACAAGGACATTTTTGACATTTTATTGTACTCAGCACAATTGCAATTATGCAACCTTAATATCTGAATTTCATGAATTTTATGTGAATGATTTTTTAATTGTGTAAGCGCAGTCGTGAGCGTGCAAAGCTAAATTGAGGTACACGTTTGAACAAATATACTTATCATAAAAGGAATGATATTGTTATTAAGTTTATAATTAAGAAAAACAAAAATTGAACCACACAAATTCAAACACCTATACCTTAATTTTGGTTATTATCAACACAAAATTCAACAAACTAATTGATAAGATAAGATATATTTAGGAAGTCCTGAAATTATATTTGAGTTTAGCACTAATAAGGCCCTCAAAAATGAATCTTAACCTAATTAGAAATTAACCCATGAAAAATGCTTTTCTGCCAATAAAAATATATTCTTCTATGAAATTCGTCGTCTATTTTTTAAAATTGCTCTTCACTGAATATTACATAAATTTTTATTGATCATAATATGTCAATGCATACCCAACACATATAACTCAAATAAATTCAATACACGATGTACAAGACATACCCAATACTTTCTTCGGGTTACACTCCGTGCAGTGCACCGAGTCCTTCACTAGAGAGCCAAAAAGATCAGTAAATTGATCAAGGTCATGCACAAGTCTTCCACGATGCAGATGGTGTCAAATTTACTTTTACTATTAAAATTCAACTACATAAATAAATCCATCCAAAAATTTAGAGTCATATAATCCATAAAATTCTAATTTGTTAATAATAAATCTAATAATTCTTTGAAATGTTTTTTTTTTAATCATTCAAATAATTTTATGAAATGGTTTTTTTTAACCTTTGCCTATACCAATTTAATCCTTTTATTTTTCATTCTATTTATTTTGTTTTTTTAACATTTGGTGTAGTTTTGACTTTGGGTCTTTGACACTGAAGGGGGTCAAGGGTTTTGAGACTCAGAAAGAAAAGAAAAAATAAATTTGAGTAAAAATATTTTTAATTTAAATTAACAGTATCTCTAATTATAACATGTGAATTTTATCTTTAATATACTCATGATGTACATTCTAATAAGATAAAATAAAAATAAAAAGTGAAAAACAAAGTCTTTGAACTAAATGGTTGACATGTACACCATGACACTAATCAATGCTAAAATCTCTCTCTTCATTGATAAAGCTTCCGTCTCTTCTTCATATACCTATACAATATACATATATGCAATCAACGTGATCGAACCGATACCGTTCTCTGATATTATTTTCTTCCCCCACATTGTTTCTCTCTCTATAGTCAACATGCAGATGTTGAAGAAACCAAGTTGATTTCAAATCGATGCATAGACGCAGTCGAGACTCTGAAAAACCGAGTACCCATTTTTTTTTTTTGGGCTGAAAGCAGAGTACATAGAGAGAATGAAGAACGACGAGCAAACTTGGTTTCTATTTGGAATCTCTCTCTCTGACAGACCCAAATGGCAGCAATTTCTCATCTGTTCTTCTGGGTTTTTCTTTGGGTATCTCGTCAATGGCATATGTGAGGTATGATGCGTAAAACCCTCTGTTTGTTTCCCTAGAAAATAGATTCGTGTGAAGAGGTTAAATTTTGAAGTCGGTCACATAATCACATTCGCTGCTGTTTACTTGAAAAGTCGTTCGAATCATGTGAATATAGAAAAATCTGTGGATTTTTAGCTTTGGGGTTTCTTGTTTCTTGTTCACAAGTTCTCAGTTTTGTTTTCTCGCCTGATTTTCTATTGATTTCTTAGCAACCAAACAGGGTTCAAAGCTAATTTTCTAAGAATATTTATTAATGTTTATGAGTTGACAGTTTCCTTTGGGTATCATAACCGATGAGTTTTTCCTTTTTAATGCATCCATTAATTAATCTTGTTTGAAGGATTTTAAGTTTGCTTATTATCACAATCATCATTGGTTGATGGAATTAATATTATGTAAATTTCATTATACATGGATTCCATGGATGCTCTTTTTTTTTTTCTTTTTCTTTTTTTTTCTCAGTATACCACTAATGTTCATTGTGAAAAAAAAAAATTAAAAATTAAAAATCAGTGATAATGTAATCTTAGAAGTTATCTTTCACCAATTAATTTTTTTTAAATTTTTTTGAATTACTTGAGATTTTTCTTCTAATATTTACCACTTATTTTCCAAAGCTTGGATTGTATCATCAAATTTCTTTAGAAAATTTGATCATCTTAGTTTAGCCTAACTACAATTTTTATTTATTTATTTATTTTTAACTTCTAATTGATTATGTGATTAATTGTTGTTTCATTTCAGGAATATGTGTACAATAGGCTCCAATTCAGGTCAGTTTTGCATCTACTTACTAAACACTTGATTTTGAGATTTAATATCTGATTTGATGATGATATATTTGTATGGATGGTTTTCTTCCTTCAGCTATGGTTGGTACTTCACATTTGTTCAAGGGTTGGTCTATCTTTTTCTAATTTACTTTGTACAAGGCTTCACCACCAAGCAGATGGTGAACCCATGGAAGACTTATGTGAAGCTCTCCGTCGTGCTTATGGGTTCGCATGGACTTACCAAAGGGTCTTTGGCTTTTCTTAATTACCCGGCACAGCTCATGTTCAAGTCCACCAAGGTGAACAGAAATTCTCGAGCCTTATAAACAATGAGTATATCAATTATTTGTTTAATAATTTTCTGTCCTTATGAGCCGCTAATTTGAGCTAGATAAAAGTTCTCCATTCTTTCAATCTTTATTAATAGGTCTGAATTTGAATTATATTTGTGAAGCAAGCAATTAAAATTAGGGCAAATATGTATATACATTTTCATCCTGATCAAACATGAAGTCGTCCTAGCAGGCTAGAGAATGTAGACACATGTTATTTTGTTTTCTGTTTTGCCTCTGGAGCCGTTTATTTGAGCTGAAAGAAGTTGGTTAACTTATAGAGTTGTGGAACAATAGAATTTAGTGGATGATTTTTCGGGTTTATTGAACTTAGTGTAGTATTTGAGGATTGTTGCTCGTTGAACTATCATTAGAACCAGTTTGTGAAACTAGCATTATTTTCTGGGCATTATTGTTGTTGTATTTCAGGTTCTGCCAGTGATGATAATGGGTGCATTCATACCTGGCTTGAGACGGAAGTACCCTCCTCACGAGTATATTTCTGCTGTGCTTCTTGTTGTGGGTTTGATTCTTTTCACTTTAGCGGATGCACAAACTTCGCCAAACTTTAGTCTTATTGGTGTTGTGATGGTGTCCGGTGCTCTAGTGATGGACTCCTTTTTGGGTAATTTGCAAGAAGCAATCTTTACTTTGAATCCTGAAACAACACAGGTGAGATACATGTGATGGATGTACTTTGTGAGGTGTGTTTAAATGTGAACAAAGTGGTCATAATGAAATATTTATTTCACGTTTGGATTTTTACTTGGAATCTTTTTGGATAGACGGAGATGCTCTTTTGCTCCACTGTGGTTGGTCTCCCTTTCTTGATTCCGCCCATGCTTTTCACGGGAGAATTATTCAAAGCATGGAATTCATGTTCTCAGGTAAAAATCCAAAATCTATTTTTCTCCCTTTGATGTATACGTTTCTGAATACCATTTACTGTTAATGCAGCATCTTTATGTATACGGCGTGTTGGTCTTTGAAGCAATGGCCACATTCATTGGCCAAGCTTCTGTCCTTTCCCTCGTTGCCATTTTTGGTGCTGCCACCACCGCCATGGTAAGTTCGTGTCACAAACTTTTCCTGGTTCTGTTATGCTAATCTATGCATTGATGGGATTAAAGAATTTTTAATAGCTTCAAGGTTCCAAATTTATCTCCTAAAATGTATGTGATGAATAGTGAATGAATATCCGCAGTTTGCTGTCATTTTCAATAGGTCTTCTCATTGATTTCCATCTGAGTTTTCAGGCTTGAGGGGTTTTAAATTGGATCTCAGGACATATGTTACATATCACATGTACATTTAATGAAATTGGGGAAGACTTCGAATTTTGTGTATGGAACTTATCTCACCATTGAATTTTATCACACAGGTGACAACGGCAAGAAAGGCGGTAACATTACTGTTATCTTACATGATATTTACAAAGCCATTAACTGAGCAGCACGGGAGCGGACTCCTGTTGATATCCATGGGGATCATATTGAAGCTTTTGCCCGAGAACAAACCCCCCAAAAGGGCGGGTGCCTCATTTTCCACGGCCAGGATTGAAAAACCTTCTTACGGTGAAGAAAATAGGACTCGTGTGGTAAATGAAGAAGAAGAGAAAAGGTCTTTGGTCTGACAATAATCTATGCTTTAATCTGTGATTTCTTATTTCTTCATCCAGTTTATGACCTTTAAATGGTATTAGATAGTATAAAAAATAAGATGTTTGCAGGGTTCTTGTCCTCTTGGTTTGTGGCTTTTTATTTCAGAAAGAAACTGACATTGCAAGTTTGGGTTAAGGTGTATAAATTTACTGCATATTTGTAGTGGTCTCACTAATTTGAACTTCACAATGAAATCAAAGTTGAATCTTTCATTTGAAGTCTATTCAGTCATTATTTTTTAATTTTCTAGCTGAAAGTTCAGCAATTTGTGGTCATTCTTTTTAATTTACTTTGGAAAGGACAGACTGTGTGTGTAGCAAATAACTGCATTATGCTTTGTTTGGAAGGAAGAAAATTGGATGGAAGGAAGAGAAGAATGGATAGATAAGACATCCCTAGGGTAAGGATAACTCTCTTCCTTCTTTTTATTTGGTTGAATGGAAGGACGGTAACTCCTTACTCTTATTTGTTGAGAGATAGAGAAGGAAATAGATTGCATAATTATGAAGGGTGATATTGTAATTTAAATTTTTATAATGGTCTTTCTTCTCTTCCTTCCTCACTCTCTTCTCTTCCGTCCATATTTGAATGGATGAACTTTTGTGAAGCAAATCACACAAAAGGTTGGCTGAGTTATCCATCAATTTTTTTTTCTTTCTTTTCCTCTTTACCAAACGAAAAAAATTTATTCCATCATTTTTTTTTTTTTTTTCTTTCTTTTCCCCTCTACCAAACGGAAAAAATTTATTCTTTCTTTCCTCGGTCTTCCGTCCTATCAAACCATCCATTAGTGAGATAGAATAATGTGGTGGATCTTAAATGTAGTGACAGTTGTGGTAAGGAAGTGGAAGGCTCACACTAATACTTGGTATCAGGGACGGAGCCAATGAAGGCCTAGGGGGGGCACGTGCCCCCCTGAGTTGGCCAGCAACCTATAATATATATGGTAATTTTTTAAAAAAATTTAATGTATACGAAAAAATTTATATAGTACCCCCCTCAAATTTGTAGTTCCTAAAATTATATTCGTATTTTTTCTTTATTTTCTCTTTTACTTTTCACATTCCTTAAATTTCTTTAGTAGAAAAAATCAAAATTTTCTTCCTCAATTGAAACTTTTTAACTATTTCCTATTAAAGTTCTTTTATTTTTCTTTCCTTTTATATTTTAATAATTTTCTTCTTCTTTGTCTTTTTGAATTTTATAGTTGTTATATATATGTATGTACTCCGTATTGTTTTTTTTTTTTTTGGTAGTGTGCCCCCCTCATTTGAAATCCTGGCTCCGTCACTGCTTGGTATGTGGCAAGATCAAAATTAAACGGACTATTGTTTTCATATTTCAAACAATTCTTGTTGCAAGAATTTAAATTTATATGTTTTGAGCTAAATTGGTGATCGATTATGATTGATCCAATACATGTAATATACTATAAATATATAACATTTATTAAATTTAGTAGATCTGTTTATTTGTATTAGGAATTTCTGTTGTGACCATGGGATATTATTTTTTATTTATTCATATTTTATTTTTAGTGGGTGGGAACTAATGAGGGTTGACTAGAGAGAGAAATAACATTTCATGCAGAACAATCATAGGTGAACACAAATCTTGATAAAAACATTATTTCTGTTTCAGATGAAAATGGAAACGCAAATCAACAACAATTTTCAAACCAGGATAGTTAATGTCCTTTTTTAGATGAAAAATTAGGCTTGAGTAAATGCAAATAAAAGTGGTAAAGATGACATCTAAATGTTACTTTTCTCATATACAACAACAATAATCAAACATTTTTTAAAACTACTTAAGGTTAGCAACATGAATTCTATATTTTCATTTTGATCTATTCAATCCCATATTCTATCATATCCTGCCCCTGCAGCTATCAAGTGAGTTCTACTACTACATTCAATGACTCGATATTTCAGACTTCTCAATCGTTGAATCAATTATCAAGTGAGTTCTACCACCACATTCAATGACTGAGAATCTCAAAAATACGATAACCTAAAATATTGTAGACTTTCACCTCAGCATGGTAGATATGAGTCATGCATCGGCTGACTACATGCTCAAACTCTCCAACTTGAATTTGTCAAAATGACCATCAAATTATAATTATATTTCCTATTTGATACCTTACATTGTGTGACCTCTCTGCTCACCCAATAGTTTTTCTTTGGAGGCAATAGTTCATCGCAGTCCTTAGAAGCCATATGCAACTTGTCACAAGCAAAATTAGGACAGACACGTTATTTTTTTTAACTTTTTTAATTTTTTCCATATAAAATCAATTAATGATCACAATTGAGATTGCAATACAAAGTTAAATATATAAAATGAACCCAAGGGGTTGGTTGGAAAAGATTTGAATTTTGGTGCGATTCTTGTTAAGTACAAATAATTTTTTTGAGGGAGAATGTGTGAGCACCAATTAAAAAAATTTATATATATATATATATATATATATATAATGAGGTGTTATTTAGGCTCAACATTCTGGTCAAAACGCTGGGGCTAATTTAACAGTTGATGGAATAGTAAGGGGCCCACATGAGCCTCTCTATTGCATCGAACAGGGCCCAACCCATTTTATACTATTGCATTATAATTTTAACTGCGAATTGCAAAAAATCCCTCTCGATTATCACTCACTTGCAGAAAATCTTCCTTATGAATACTTTTAAAAGGAAACTCCCCTCAACTATATTGAGTGGGGTATTTTAACTTAACACTGTTTAATGATTTTTTGAGGTCATTTTTTTAGATCAATTACCCCTCAACATTATAGATTGGGTCATTGTTCAGTCCTCCACTCCCATTCTCTGTTCGTTCTGCTACTGTAGTAAGGTTTCGATAATAGATGAGAGAGATATTGCAGTGGTGGTATGGAGAGAGAAAAAGTTGGGACGGTGGTGGTGGTGGTGTTGAGAGAAAAAGTTGGGGAATAAAAAAAACACTATACTTCTTCTTCTTCTTCTTCTTCGAATCTTAAAAAATAAATTTCTTGCAAATCTAACCTCTCCCTCCTTTTACTGTTACACCCAAACAAAGAAAACTAGGATGATGGATAATAAAATGATACATATATTTTTTATTTACCTCTTTCCCAATTAACATTTTTGTTATTATGCGTTTTTTGTTTTGTTAGTCCCTCTTTTCTCTTGCTTTCTCTCTAATTTTTTTTTTCTCCCTCATATTAACTTTCTCTTCTCTCTCTCATTAAAATTTAATATTGATCTTTGTAAATAACAATGAAAGATTTCACAAATGAAGAAGTAAAAGAGTTAGAACGAAGTAATTGTTCTTGTTAGCATAAAAAAAACATTTAGTAACTATTAAAACTTAATGAACTAATAAACTCCTTTAATGCTAATGGTTATCGGAATGATAATTTGTGTCTTTTACATTTCTATTCTGTGTTTTTTTTTTTTTTTAACTTCATATTAACTTTCTCTTCTCTCTCTCATTCAAATTTAATATTGATCTTTGTAAGTAACAATGAAAGATTTCACAAATGATGAAGGAAAAGAGTTAGAATCAAGTAATTGTTCTTGTTAGCATAAAAATAAAAAATAAAAGATTCAATAACTATTAAAACATCATGAACCAATAAACTCCTTTAACGCCAATGGTGATCGGAATGATAATTTGCTACTTTTACTTTTCTATTCTGCTTTCAGTTTTTTTTTTTTTTTTTTTTTTTTTTTTTTTTTTTTTTACCTAATATGTTTAATAAGAATTAATTGGGATGGTGATGGGAATGGTAAATAATTATTTTTTTAAAATTTTATTTTCTATTTTATGATTTGAGTTTAGTTTATTTATTTATTTATTTATTTGTCAAACTTGTTTTTTAAGAATTAATTTGAAATTTCTTTGAATCTTTAAGTTTATCTTTTTGGTAAATAAATGTCTAACTCTTTTAACAATAAAATTACAAGATTATGGATTTATGGAAATAATAGAAAAATAAAAAATACATTGTATCATATACAACTATGACATGTATGATTCATCTTAAAATATCAATAAGTGACTATTCTAAATTTAGAGAAAGATTTGTAATGTTTAGTAAATATCTTGTAATTTGAATCCATAATTTCAGTTGAATAAATTTTCATCCTAATAATTTCAGTTAAGTAAATTTTTTTTTTGATCGGAAAAAAAAAATAATAATAATAATAATAAATAAGGTAAGATGAGAAAAAAGTTTATAGTTAAAAAGGACGGGATCATAAAACGATGGTGGTTGTGTTAATAAGCTTAGGACCTTCTTCTCATTTCCTTAATATATATATATATATAACCATGTGGGCTACCACTCATAAAACATGGATATGGGCATGATGTAATACAAAAAATTAAAATAAAATAAAATATGGGTACATAACAATACATCAGCATTTATTTTTATACAAATATATATATATATATATATATCTTTCTGTGAAAATATTTAAATAATAATTATTTATTGTTATATACATCATTATTAACATTTTTTTATTAAATATTATGATAAATAAATAAAATAAAATAAAATAAGAATTGAGATTATATTGTATGAATAAATTTTGGACTAAATCATTTAATTAGGGTAAAAATCCGGGACACAATAGGAAACAGAAAAAATCACCGACTCTATAAATATATACTGCACAATACGCCGAATCAAGAAACAACTCTCCGAAAAATTCGTCTCTCCCCCTCTAAAACCCTAGTAAAGCATTTGTTCAATCGATCGTTAACAGAAAATACTCGATCTCAGGTTTGCAGCAATCAATCTTTCTCAGAGTTTTAGGGTTTCGATTTTTAGGGTTTCCTATTTAGGTTTCTGTAATTTGGATTCGTTTAGATTTTTTTTATTCGTCTTTTGTGTTACTGTGTTACCGAATGATTGAAGGCGCTGAGAGAGATCCGTATTGTCAATGAATTGAATGATCAGTAACGATTTGGGTTTTCATTGATTTGTTAGAATTGGGTTTTCGAGGTTTTATTCGGCAAAGAAAGATTTCATTGGATTAAAGGCGTCTCTTTCTATATGTATGATTAACGGTATCTATATGTATATTTTGTGTTTAGTATGGCTATAAAAGCAACGAGAAGAGTTTCGGATACGAATGAAAGATCATCAGTTTTCAATCGACGAGGAGGAGGAGGAGGACCAGTGGTGAACAAAGTTTGTTCCTATTGGCTTGCTGGAAGATGTACCAGAAAGCCATGTCGGTTCTTGCACAGTGAAGAATCACTGCCCCAAAAATCTAAACAACAATGTCACAGAGGATCACCATACAACAAATATCCTGGGTCGAACACTTGGCAGAGGAGTCCCAACTATGGCCCCAAAAAGTCATCTGCCCCTCCAAGTGGTGGAGCTGGGAGTGGAGCTAAAAGCCCCAAAAAGTCATCTTACCCTCCAAGTGGTGGAGCTGGGAGTGGAGCTAAAATTATTGAAAAGACCCCAGAAAAAGCCATATGCCAGTACTGGATAGTGGGAAACTGTGTGCATGGAGACCAGTGCGGGGACTTGCATTCATGGTTCAGTGGCAATGGATTTTCAGTGATAACAAAGCTAGTAGGGCATACTAAGGTACTTTACTAATAATCATTCTTTGCATCTATATTTGTGTAGTTCCTTGAATTATTTTTGTTAAACTCTCCATTGTGTTTGTGGGACATTGGCAACAGGATGTTACTGGGATTGCCCTTCCTTCGTGCTCCAACAAACTTTATTCGGGGAGCAGGGACAAATCTGTGCGGGGTTGGGACTGCGTTACTGGTCAGGTTGGTATTGTTTTTTTGGATATTTTATTCTTTGTTCAGGAATTAAAGTCTGGTTTGCTCGTTTAAGTGATATATTTCATAATGTAGTTGTGTTTCTTACTTTGTTGATGCAGTCTGTTGGTGTTCTTAACCTTGAGGGTGAAATTTATTCGATGATTAGTGAAGGTCCATGGGTGTTTGCGGGTTTGCAAAATGCTGTTAAGGTACTTTGTTTAGACTTTTGAATGTTACTATAATATTTTATTCAAGTATTGTGGTCGTTAAATTATCTAGTTTGTATTTTTATTGGGTTTTTATTGGGTTCATGTTGGTGTTGGTGATATTGCAGGCATGGAACACCCAGAGTCATACTGACCTGACTCTTGATGGACCAGTTGGGGCAGTTCACGCCATGGCTGTGGGTAACGACGTCCTTTTTGCTGGAACTCAGGTAGCTACTCTTAGTACTCGCACTGTTTCTCGTACTTTTTAGCATAGTTTTGAGATCAAAGGTGCTTATTTGATTATTGGATTGCTTTGAAATTGGATGCTTATCTAATAGTCGCTATTTCATTTTTGAACAGGATGGTACCATATTGGCATGGAAATCCGGTTCCGTTGAGCTTGCTGCAGCATTGAAGGGTCATAGCGGTGCTGTTGTTTCCCTTGTTGTTGGAGCTAATAGGCTCTACTCTGGTTCCATGGATCACACCATAAGGGTAAGTTGATTATCATCATTTTCCTTCTGCTCTGCCCTCTATTTTTCATGATAGGTTCTATATTTAAGGATTAGTAATAATTGCATTTCTCTTTCCAGGCGTGGGATCTCGACACTTTAAAGTGCATTCATACACTAAATGGGCACACAGACACTGTGATGTCAGTTATTTGCTGGGACATCTTCTTATTATCTTGTTCCTTAGATAGAACAATAAAGGTTATATTCTTTTCTGGTTATTAATTGATACATTTTACATTATCTTATTATAAGTTTGTGCCCCTGATTTTTTTCCCCTTTTGCAGGCTTGGGCTACTACTACTGATGATGGGAACTTGGAAGTAATCCACACACGCAATATGGGGCATGTAAGTTATTTAATGACATTTTCTGATAATCATTTTTGTATGTATTTATACCTGTTTCATCTTATTTCTTAAATGTTGCATTTTTTTTTCTTTCTCACCTTGTTTATTGGAAGGTGACTTAATTTTAGAGAGATTTTGTTATTAAACACTTGTATGATCAATTGGGAACATGATACACTTATAAATTCTATAGGATCAGGACTATGTGACACATAAATTATCCTTAATTGAATGTAAGGAATGATGATTATATTTAAGTTGAATGTCCTAAAAAGTAAAGCCTTTGGAGTTCCATGTGTCTATCAATTTAGTAGACCTTAATTATGTACTCATAAGGATTTCCATGAATTGCAATCAACATGTGTAAAAATTTCTGTTTCATTATTTCATGAGAATCATGTTGTAGTGGTTAAGGCTCTGTTTTTGACTCGACTAAATCCATAGTTATACTAACTGCTTTTCGTTGTTGAAGCACACAAAACCTCCTGTGGTTAGAATTTTTGGGGGTTGCAAATTTTAGAGTTCTCTTATGATTGGGTCAGTAATGTTATTGAGCATAAATCAATAAGATGAAGTGCTCATGAGTCTCTCCAGTCATGAGTCATGAGAGAATTTGGTTTGGTACAAATGCGCCCACACTATTTGACCTTCCATTTATCTGAAGCACCCTTGTTTTCAGCTACAGAAACAAAAAGAAACCGAGTGAAAGTGAGACTTACTCCCTATGTTCATATGACCACTGAGTTCCCAAGCATCATAAATGGCATTATGAATATGATCTCTCTCTCTCTCTCTCTCCTTTTTGTGTGTTGGTGATTGTTGAGTGTGGCTTTTGAGGTCCAAATTGTTTGTCATTTAAATCTGATAAATTCTTTGCATTTCTTATTTCTAGTCAGTTCTCAATTGTGATTAGCGGCAACACACGAACTAATTAATATTATATTCGACTGTTTCAGGGTGTTCTTACCATCTGTGGGATACAAGATGCCGAAAAAAAACCAATCTTGCTTTGCTCATTGGACGACAACACTGTGTGCTTATTGGAATTACCATCGTGAGTATCAACAATTTATCATTACATCATAGTTTTTGTCTCAACAATTCATCATAACATGATAATTTTCGTCTTTTGTTTTGGTCAATAAATTTATTCTTTGCCTGCTGATCAATCAACTATATCTTTTATTTGGCTTTAGCTTTAAAGAAAGGGGCAAAATATTTGCCAAGGGGAAAGTTGGAGCAATTCAGAGAGGTCCTGAAGGCCTATTCTTCACTGGTGATGCAATAGGGGAGCTGAGTGTCTGGAAATTGTCGGAAGAGTCCAGCATGGTGGCAGCTTCTTGAAGATGATACCTAACAATGCTCTGTCTGTCCCAAACTAAATGGTGTCGTGTAGCCATTTTGTATAGAGGCAACCCCATTATTTGCACTGTAATTGTTACTACATTTCTTTGTACTCTCTTATCCCAAAGTGATGAGAAGCAAAAACCAAAATTACTCATTTTTGCCCCTTTTAGATGCCAGAATATACAAAGGGGCCATATTGATGTTATTGTTGTACTTGTAACCAATTTAATCAATCAATGCAGCAATTCTGCAAGCAAATTTAATTGTTCAAATTTTTCCTTTTGTCCTATGATCTTTAGATTCTATATTCAACCCATTTCTGGGTTAGTTTGAATGCGTATCATATTCAATAAATTAAATGAGAAAATGTGAAATAATCTAAAGGATTGAAAACACCAACGAAGAAGAAGAAGAGAAAAGGCTTAAGTTCGAATATTATGTTTCGAACTGATCAGATCTGTTTATTTGTACTTAGTAGTAGGAATTTCTGTATGTGGTTGAGCCGTGTTAATTTTTGGGACTCGAATGATAATGCCCACACAATCAGGGTTTGTATAAATAAAAAGAACTTCAAAATTAGTAGTTGCTTATAAGAGCGAGTGACCATTAAGTGGGATACTCCAAAATTAGTAGTATTATTTTTATTTAATTTCTAGGTGACTAGGAACTTGACGGGAGAGAAGCGCCGTATGTAAATCATATTAGTAAGTCACCATTTAATGCTAATTTTGTCAAATGGACTTACTTAATACTAGTAAGTGATCGTTTAAGGCTAATTTTGTCAAATTACTTAATTATTTAATTATTGGAGTTGTTATTGAACTCCACCTATATCATTTTATCTTTATTCTAATTTATTTTAAGAGTGGTGCTATACAGTCAGACTAGGAAGAATCGACATCCTATCAACACTCACGTGGCTATCCACACAATCTGAATGTGAGAGTGAACAAGCATATATAAGAAAGTTTGAAAATTTGAGGATGTAAGGAGAGAGGAAGTAGAGGAGTTAGTCTGTCAGAGAGAGCAACGGGAACATCGTTGCCGGAAAAATTAAGAATGCAGGAGAAAGTTTGGTTAAAGAAAACTAATAGCTTAGTGTCGCGTGGATGTCCATTTTTTGTCAATATAATCTTGTCGTCAAAAATATCATTTTTTTTATTTTAAATGATAAAAACACCATTTTTTCTTAAATTTTAGGACCTACCCTACCATAAAACTCACATCCAAAGCCCCCTCAATTACGTGCTGAGAGAAAGAGAGAGTGGAGAGAGTGACAAGGAAAAACAAGTTTAATCCAGACAATGGACATTATTCATATTTTTATTATTATTTATTTTAGATAAGTGTCAGCATGAGAGAAGACTACTTGCGCAGAGAGGATTGTTCTTTTTTATATTCTTTACAAGGAAAGAAAAAAACATTCTTCAATCACAACTTTAATTTGCACGACAAACCTACTTATTTTTCATAACAAGTAATTCTTGCACGCTTTATGTGAGTACGAAAACAATTGTTTATTGCCAATACCTAAATTAGTATAATAAATTAAGATTGATATAATGAATACCTAAATTACTATAATAAATTAAGATTGATATAATTAATTGAAGTATCATTCACTCACTTTTTCATAACTTTGGTTGGGGCTCTTATATTGAATCTTGCATACCTATTTATCCAAATCTTGTCAAAACTTTATTCTCTCCATTCAGTATTAGGTTCATGGGATAAAATTGAAGATCTTTGAAAAAATAATTAATGAAATTATTTGTGTCCAAACGGTCATCAAATTTGTAGTAAATAATATGGACAAGGTTAGATTTGTCAAATTATAAAATAATTTGTCATAATAAGGACAGTTACGGAATATATCATCAAATCACTCATTAGCAATTATGTTTAGGATTGATCATTAAAATCTAATTTTCCCATTTGTATACTTAATTCCTGGTCTCATCCTATTTCTTTGATTATTAATTCTATCTTTGTTATGTATTTATAATATCTATATTAACTTTAGCAATTCGGCTATATGGATGTATTCACGTTTCTTTTTTAGAGACCAATATTCTCTGTGTAACATTGCTGGTTTAATCATTGTCTAGTATATTTTTCCTTTGGCTCCATTTGGTTAGGTGAAAATAAGTAAGAAAATAAAAGAAAAGAAAAAGAAAGTGAAATAAAAGTGAAGTGAATGAAAAGAAAAGAGATTTTCTAGCATGTATCTGGTTAACATGAAAATTTATCGAAGAAAATTGTAAAAAAATATTAGTTTGTTAGTTTAGATAACATAAAAGTGAAAAGAAAGTGATTATGTATATCAAAACTATCCTTATGAAGTAAAATAATGAATTATTAAATTCAAATATATAATTGTTTATATTCATTTCTATTATCTATAAACTAATTATTAGTTTAAGATAAACAAATTAAAAAAAAAAAAAAAAATTAGAGATGAAGAGGCAATACTATTGTTTGGAAGAAAAATCAAATATTGCATCTTATATATATATATATATATCCATATGGAATTATGAGTGGCAACATAGAACAGATGATTAAAAAAAAATAAAAAATTCTATTTAGAAGCAAGATCTATTTTAAACAATTTTACTCAAATTATTATTGATATTGTGTATATATAAGTGTATAATTTTCATTACAAACTTACCTCAGAATAGAAGTTGTTGTGGAGAGAACTTTGCACGATTAAGTTATGTGTAAAAAAGAAACTGCAACGGGAAACTAAATTTTCTATTAGGTTTCTCTTTTTATCTATCCAAACTCTAAAAAAAACTTAAAAATTTTCTCTTTCCTTTTTTTTTTCTAGGTGTTTCCACCTAACCAAATTTAGGTTAGTTTGTTTAGCTAGGTAGAAAGGAAAAGAAACATAGCAATTTAGTTAGCGTGAAAAATAAAGTTATCAGGAAAGTAATATTCTCATAACCGATTGATTTTTCTCAAAATGTTTGGTTAGTTGTATCATTATGTCTTAGTTTCCTATTATACACTTTTTAGTTGTTTCTCAGGAAATTAAGATTCCTAATTATGTTACAACTTTTTAACTCTTCAAATTAGTACACTTCCCGCACTTACAAAAGAAGTAAGCTTATATAATGTAATCTTCCCAAAACAATCATACACACATAAAAAATAAAAAATAACAAAAAAAAGGTAAAAGGAAAAATCACTATAGTAAAGTGCCAATTACCTTATTCATAAACCCAATTGTATTCATAATAATTAATATTATTAATATTATTTATACAGTGATATGTATTACTTAGTATTGAATAAATTAGTATTGAATAAGTAAGAATAGTTTTGGCTTATAAAATCATTTTTCACTCTCTTGCTATCCAGACTAATGAAATAATATCTTCTCACAATTTTTTTCAAAAAAATAATCATGCTAATCAAATGCATAACAGAAACTTGGTTTTCTTTTCTTTCCTTTCACTTTCCATCATCAATTTCTGGCTAACCAAACAGACCATGTGATTTGTTTAGCATTTGTTTTATCACATAGAACTTCACTACCTTTCTTCCATTTTATCCAATTTATTTCAATTTTACTTTTTACATCATCATCAATCTCTCTATCTTTTTTGTACAATTGATCCCAAGCAGGGGCGGAGCCAAAATTTGAAAGGGGGGAGGGGAAGCAGAGGATTTACTGGGAGAAAAAAAATTCAAGCAGAGAAAATGATTTACTGGGGAAAATTTTTTATTAGTTCTTCTGAGAAATCCAAATATGAAGAAACCCAAATCCAACAACATGATTCAATACAAAATAATCAAAATTTAATGTATAATAAAGGAACCGATATCCAAAATTTTCAGACAATAATCCAAAAAATAAAACCCAAATCACATTACCAGATTTTAGAAAGAGATATAATAACCTGGAGAGATACTAAGTCAAAGCTGTGATTCAGTTCCTTATAAAAAACCCTTCGTGGGCTTTCCTGGTCTCCCGTTGCAAAGACCCTTTACGAACAACGAATTAGGGTTTCAGTCGAATGGGCTTTGAATCGCTTCACACCAAATGAAACAACAGAGAAAAATGAGTGACAAAACAATGATTTTTCAGCTCAAAACCTAAGATCAGTGGTGGCACAACAACTAAACTCTAGGGTTCCAGTCGAATCACCCAGAAAAATTGACCGAGAAGAGAGAGAAACGAGAGGGCACAAATGCGAGGTTTTAGAAAATTGTTGTTTATATATATGATATCCCAATTTTTTGGCTTAAATTTTGAAACCAAAATACCAAAAACAATACCACACCGAACGGCCCCTAGGTCTTCTTCAATCTTCTAGTTCTAATTTGTTTATAGGCTTATTTTCTGGACCGAGCCATTTATCATTTTATGTTTTATTATGGATTGGATAGTTTAGGTTGGGCTAGGCTGGGTTATGGCTAATAGGAAATGATAGTACAAATTTTTGTTATTTTATTTTTTGGACCTGAGCTATAGCCCAAGTCCACGTAGAGCTCCGACCCTTATCCCAACTATCGAAGCAACATTCACAATAATAACCTTGATTAGACTCAAACACAACATTTTCAAAAAGGACAAATAAAATCGTCTGGCCTAATAGTCGTGAATAATGACATGTGATATGAATATGATACGGATATACAATTTGAAATAGAATATGGGTACATATTTATAAAAAAAAACGTAGATATGAAAATCAATATGTATGTGGCAATGATAAATGGCTCAATGCACAATATAAAATTACAACAATATACATATCAATGCACAATATAAAATTACAACAATATACATATTTATAAAAAAACGTAGATATGCATTAAAATCAATATATATATGTAGCAATGAAACTTTAATATAATAAAAAAAGCACCCACCTTTTCATTTTTGTTTATCTCAAAATAATTGTCCTACTTCAAATTCAATGTATTATTCTTTTAATATTTTTAATTTTACTCAGGCGGCCTGAAGTTATAAAAGTATGTATGTGGATTCTTCACTGAAAAATAAAAAATTTATTCGCTACCACAATAATAAAAAAATATTAAAAATTACACTCCTAAAAAGTTAAATTTTCAAAAGGATCATATAGTTTATAGAATAGAGGGAGTAATAATATTTCTTTATTAGATATTATGATTAATAAATAAAATAAGAGTGACAGTTATATTGTATGCATAGATTTTAAAATAAATAATAAATATATAATATTTATTTTAAAAACAAATTATAAAATTTTCCATATTATTATTGAAAAAGTTGTATATAATATTCAAAAGT